GCAGAGAAATCGGAACTCAAAATCCTACAACACAATAATAAAATGTTTGTTTGAAAAAAATTTTTTCATTCAAACCATGACGTTAGTTAAGGATATTCATAATCCAGCAATCGATAATTTGGTTCAATCCTCATCAAACGAAGATGGAAGTAAAAGACTTGAATGGGTTCCTTTCTCGCAAATTAGCGACATAACGTCAAGTGACATTGACAACGTCTACTACGCCATTCGCAAGGAAATGGATAACATCGTTTATCACACGATGTTACTATTACTTGGAAATCATGAAGAATGTACGACACGTGCGAGTGAGTTGAGTAGATTATACTCACTTCCAACACAAAAGTACAATAATGATGATATTAACTTCAGACGATATGCAAAATGGCTTGAAAATCGCAACTGTTGGATAAAAGGATTCACCCAGCATAATGAAATTATTACATGGTTGCTGATAGACGCTTTTACCATTACTATTATCGATATGGATTCTGCTTTAAATGTGGAATACTCCGATGTAGTCCTGTGTGGTGCATTTGCGGGCATAAACAATTATCCAATAGTTGGACTAGCAACGATAAGCAACTCGATGAGTTTATTAAGAAATCTCAATTACAAACAAACTCTGCGAATGACGCCTATTTGGAATGGATTCCATCTGATTGCATTGATGACAGGGATAAATATAACGTACACTTATATGGTCTGCCTATTACTAATTCTCGTGTATTCGTTAAATTGATTCCGCTTGAAATAATGGGTGAGACGGATGAATTATATTATAAAGTGAGTATCATATATCAATTATTCCGTATGCATATATTGCAGCTATCAATTGTTTGCTAGTACTAGTTAATATTAATATTAACTTATGTATAATTCCCGCTAGTTATGTAATAATCATTCAGATATTCTTACCACGAATGTTTGGGTTACCATCGGATTCACTTATGATATACATAAACAAAAGTATTGTCTAATAAAAGGAGAAGACGGGTATGGATTTTGTTTGGCATGTACACGTCAGTTAAGTCCTAAGATAAATGCTTTCTGTTATGGTTGTAAAGCACCAAGACCTCTTGATTGGACGACTGGCAACAAGTCTTTGGATTCATTTATCATGGAGTCATGGAGTAAGACTGAGCATGAAAATGATGCATATATACAATGGATAGAGTATTCTCTATTGATGAACATACAAGAAATGACCTCATTGCACCATGGATGCACACATATTATTTGGCAGCTATTGTACATGATCTAAAAATCATTCATTTGGCAGGGTTAGTACATTGTGACCTTCATGGTGGAAACATAGTTTTATATAATGATGATAATAAGACAGAAACATTCATATGTGACCTTGGTCTTTCTCAATCAGTGAATTCACATGAGCAAAATTTAACTATCCAAGGTGTTTTACCTTTTATTGCACCAGAAGTCTTTCACACTTACAACTTTACTCAGAAATCAGACATATATTCTTTTGGTATTATTATGTATTTGATGGCCACTGGTGAACCACCTTTTAGAGATAGAGCATTTGATAGAGATTTAGCATGTGATATTATGGGTGGACTACGACCACTGATACCTGATTCTGCACCAGAGGAATACAAGAAACTTGCTAAGCAGTGTTGTGATGCTGATCCTGACAAACGCCCAGATGCAGTTACACTTTGGAATGATATTTACAAGCTTGTTTCAGATGGTTGTAACAGCAACATATGGGACACAATATATCACAATAATGTAAAACCTTTATCACCTTTTGAAAAGGGGAGTAAATACTCTAGTAAGCTCTTACCTAAAGCAAGCAATATAAATAGGTTGGATTCAGCTGGAGGTATGCTAACAGTGACAGGTTATTATTATATACTGTTATAAACAAGCTATTAATATTAACATTATCTATTGTCTTTTAATTAGTGACCCAACCTCTCGATTAGTGGGCCCTTTATTGGCACTGACTCAACCTCTTGAATAAATTGCAATTATTGTTGTTTACTATTACGAAATCAGAATATGGCAGTAATAGTAACTTTTTTATTTGGGTAGTGTCTATAAATGTGGTATCATAAGTTTTTATTTGGTCTTCGTCTACTATTACTATCATATATCATAGGTACAAACTGTATGTGTAATTTATTAATGTAATTATACTGTGCAGTGCAGAATACGGGGCTAGTTTCCAAGCTCGGGAAAATGAGAAGTAGCTTGCATTTATGGAGGATTCACTGCAATTTAAACCGTAATACAATAGTTTAACGTAACAGTTGAATCAAATGTTTAAAAAGTGTCAATTTTCCGATTTTTTGTATTATTTGGATATCAGTGTACTGTTTGGCCATTGCTTTGAACACCTATTAAAACATTAGTAACACAGTAACAGTAACGCACAAAAGTCTCTAATATTTGTGATAATAATAAAGGTGAGAATGAAACTACCGTTAAACTTATAATAACAACGGAATGCAGCGCACGTTATAGGTAATATATACATTGCAATATGCAATTAGTAAGAATATGAATTTACGTCAAGTCAATTTTATCCTACTAAACGGATTAATTAGGTTATAGAAATTAATCCACCTACAACTTTAAATAAGAAATACACGTTTGAACCTATAGTATATGGTAATAGGATACTGTTCAATGGTAGTTGACCCGTTTTCTTGTTATTTTCAATATTTGCATCATGAAGATACAATTATTATTAAATTAGCGCGCAAAAATTGCAGTAAAGTTTGAAATTGCTTAAACCAATCTACATAAGAAATTTACACAAACTTACTATTACCACGTACATTCATTGAAGGCGTAAAAAAAACGTTATCCAACACAAAAAAAACTAGCTAAATATCTTTTGGTTAAAAAAATTTTTTAGTTTTAGTTGACAATCGTATATTCATTAGGCGCTAAACGTTTTAGCTAATATTCTCGTGAGTAAAAAAAATTGTTCTGTTTTGTAACTTCAAATTTGACCTGCCACTTTCAGTATGCTCGTCTAAAGTGACAGCTATATAACAGAATTACACATAACAACAGTAGAATGGACTATGTCGTGTCCCAACTACCGCGGAAGAGGGTGCACTAGGATTTAGCGCTTTCAATCGAGGATGGCTAATTTCCACGCCTGCTTGAATCTTTACATGCTCACGATTCGTATGCTCGGTCTTTTATACGCAAATTCTCAATTATAACTTTTATCGATGTTGATAGCCCGCTGTGATTATGGTTACACCAAATTATACGCGTATTTGGCAATTGTCTTCAGCCAATTTCAATCAATTCGGCGATTTTGGAACCTGCTGCTATTTACAGCAATAAAAGTAAAAAAATGTTAGATCAAAGGACGGATCCCAAATTGTAAATTACGCATTTCGCACATTCGTGATCCAAAATGGAATAGTTCGAATTGTTGAACCGTAAATTCATTAATTCATACTTATAGTCACGATATAAGCATTTACCATAATTGTCACACGATACGTGCGTGTATGGGTTTTTCCAATTACTATAACTTTCATGGTCATGTCTCAAACTTGGATCAGGAAGCATCAGCTACTAATGAATGTACGACTTCTTGGTTTACAACCGACTCCAAAAGTTTAAATCCAGTTGAGCATTGCTTGTCAGCAAATAGGAATACACTACATAACCAGGAGTATATTACGTAGCACAGGATGCCATCAAATTATTAATATAATTTGCATTCTGAGCTGTCAATCTCGCATTTAGTATTCTAATAATGAACGTACACTATTACAAGATAACCAACGCGCGTCTATTCTATTGCATGTATTGGTCACGCGTTTGAGATCCGTCTATCCTGGACTCGAGATCGGACATTCTCATTCTCCACGTAGGTCAATCCAGGTTGAATAAGTCCTTCTGGAGGCATTATTATGACTTCGAGAAAATAATAAAGGAGACGAATATTTAGAATAGACAAGTCCATAAATATTATAAATGTGTGGGGCTAATGCCCGAACGCACATATTATCAATAATACAATAATGCTTATATCGATTAAATTATAGTTATGATGTCTTTGTGATTAATCTATGTCTTTGTTGGTCGTCGGTATCATTCTCTTCTGAGGACGCTGATGCTACTTCTGCTTCCTCATAGTCATCCCCATCGTCATCGTCATCATCATCATCATCATCATCATCATCATCTTCTTCTTCTTCTTCTTCTTCATTGTTGTTTCCTCGCTCTTGTTCTTCTTCATCATCATCCTCTTCTTCCTCTCCGCTCTCGTCCTCGTCCTCACTTTCTGACGTCTCGTCACCAATAGAATGATAACGCAGTGCTAAAACCATGTATAATAAGCATATGTTCAACCTCACATCAACATCACATTTTGTGTACTTACTTTCAGTCTCTTCGCTCTCTTCACTATTCTCGTCAGACTCTTCCTCAGTCTCCTCTTCAGTCTCCACTTCGCTCTCGGTAGAATCGTAGAAATTGTCTAAATCATATTGCACTCTATCCCGTTTTGGTGTAGAATACGTGGAAGATTGAGTAAACCGGCTAAATGAATCAGAGCCGAAGCCTTGCACAGTGAATGTTCGGTCATATGAATCAACCTATGGAAGAAAAAGAACGCTGGTTAGAAATAGAACAAAAATGAATGTACAGTTTCTGCATACACGTATTGCAAATTATATATACCGCTGTGTTCCTAACAGACGCAACAGGTTTTTTGGTAGGCCAGTCGGGCAGCGGTTCGTATCCGGGCATTGGGTGGTCGAGAACAAGTGACATTGATCCGAGCGTGTACTTACATGACCCTATTATTGGTCAAACAAAGACTGTTAAAACGCGCTCGATTACAGAACTTGTAAACGTGGTCAAGATATCATCGTATCACAACATACCCACGCTGAGACTCTCTACGGGCGCTTCCTTCTCTCCAAGCAATATCGTCTCCATTCTTTCAGTCAAGATCCCTACCTTTTTCTCATCTCCATCCTCTTCTCCTAATCGTTGCTCACCCCTCAATCCCTTTAGCATCCTTGCTCTGTCTCTGATGTTGTAGTTCACGTCATATCGCGCCAAATTCATTATATACTCGTATAACAATCCCAGCGTATGGTCTGTCGGATGCAAACAAACAAGTTTAGCAGCCAAAGTAATTACTTGTAATTTGACAACATCATCCGAGTTGGAAAAGTCCTTGGCAGCTTTGCGAAGGATGTCTGGAGCAATTAACTCGAGTTTTTGTGCATATTGTCCAACCAGCCAGAAGATGGAAGCGCGGGCCATGGGAACGGTTATCTGATCGAGGGCCTTTGCGAGTTGCGTTATCATTTCCACATTGTCATGTGGTCTTAATTGGAGAAGTCTTTTTATTACTAATACAGCCTCTCCGACTATGGCGTCTGATAAAATATTCATCATATGAGTAGGGAAATAAACAAAATACAAACAATCAAATCTAATGTTGTTCATGCAAGTTTTATAAATAACGACCAACCATTTTTGCTCCATAACAATTTCATTAATCCGTTTAGACAGTTCTCAGCCATCTCTGGCATTCTTATTGCACACCGCCCAATGGCCTGAATCGCCGAAGTAGCAAAGTCTTTGTTTGGACTTTTCACATATTCCTAAATGTAAAAAGGAGTGGTGGGTGTGATCAATAAATGTCTGACACATTTCACAATAACACATGTGAATACGAAGCTCATTCAACAACCTGAAGCTCTCGAAGTAGAAATGTGATATTACTTTCAGTCGCAATCAGTGTCATTATCTCTAGTTTCAAGTTACGAATAAAGGCAGGATCAGTCGCTCTAACAAAAAATTGCTGGAGGTGGGGCTCAAACAAATTCTAAGGTAAAAAAAAGTAAAGTATAATTAATAAGCACAGTGTTTGTCAAATGCAATACTTTCTCGTCATCATCGTGCTCGACTCATACGCACCGGCCGCTGAGTTGCTATCACCATAATATTCTTGAGAACAACGTATTGTATCTCCCGATGAGAACGGAGTAGTTTGACTAGTGACTTTCCCATTTTATATGCTTCTTGCTCGGGTGCAAGATAGTAAAATAGTTTGACCACTGATAGAACAACCTTTGATGAATATAACAGTTGCATTAACCCACAAGCGTATAAGCCCCTCATATTTGACAACTTAGTAGACGGTTAATATTTACAGCAGTGTTCCGACTTTGTAGTAATGGCATGCATGATTTGAGAAGTAAGTCATGATCTGGATCCAAAGCAAAAAGCTTGTCAACAGATGATGAGGATGAATCAGAGCTCTCATCCGAGTAGAATGCTTGTGACTTTTTCTTAGTAGATGACTTAATTCCCTGCAATATGATCACGTGAAAATTAGACTTGCTTAACGGTTTTCGTTATACACACAAACAGCCCATTATGCTCAAGTAACATTACCTGAGGATTGGGATTTAGAAACTGCGTTCTGGTCATGATTAAGCTCTCCACTTAGAGATAATGCCATACAAAAGCAACAGAAATCAATGTTATAAATAACAGCTTACCTTGCATATCTGATCAGCAGACCTATTATTGCTATCTGTCCCCATTCTTCAGCGTCGACTAACATTCTACATAGTTTCCTATAATGCTGGTGAATTAAATCCAGTCTCTCTGGACATACTTCATTGAATGCCATTATCACACTTCCGATCGTATATGTAGACTTGTCGTTAAGCATGGTAGTTATTATCTCAACCAATGCATCTTTTTGAGAAGGATCTAAACTAAAATTGAAACAAAATAGATTAAAATAAAAAACATCTCCAACTCTCAACACGAGCAAAATCTCGGTTTCATCGAGTAAAAGAAAATAACGCATCTCCTCATTTTCACCTTTACCTGTAACATTTCGGAATAGCATGAGCAGCAGTTTTCCTGACGTACGGCGATAAATCAACGATACACTTCTTGATAGCAAGTAAAACGATTGGACCGATCATAGGTACTCGTATTCCACTCATAACTCTCAACGCCATCGCTCGAATAATTGGATTCTGGTCGGTGAGGTCTTTTTGAAAAGTATTTATTGATAGCAACGCAACGTCAGGTTCTTCTTCTGCGTACCGAAGTAGATATATATAGACCAGTTTTCGAACTTCAAGATTGTTCGAGGCTACATTCTTTACCACGTCTGGGAAAAATTCTGACACATCACGGCCTTTTGAGATCATCTTTATGTAAAGTCAAAAGCCCCGTGAGTTAAAAGAAAACGTACGTGTGAATACGGCTGACGGATAATCATGATGAAGAAAACATCAAGGCTTACAGCAATCAATCTTTTTAGACCATCTAATTTCTCTCTATCGTGTCTTGAATCCAAATGTTTTCTGATATGTTGCATTTTTTCCTCGGAAGTGTCAAAGTAATGCTGACTAGACGTTGCCTCCAAGCCCAATTCACGAGCATTCTCGACTAGACCCTCGGACATCTTTTTTGATAACTTGGCAGCGCTTTGTGCAAGCGCTGCCGCTTTTGAAAAATAGTCCGTCATTCTGATTATAAAATATTCGATCAACCTTCAAGAAAAAAACGAAATCTAAGTGAACGTGACGCCACACAGAAGATTTCAGGGGCTCAAAACTGCTGACCGCCACAAATTAAGATCAGTATTAGTGATAACCCTAATATTTATCAATGTATGTAGAAAACCCTGTTTGCATCTCTAAAACTCGCCAAGCCAATTATGATAATAGAAATTTTTGTTGAGCAATTTTGATTGATTGAATGGCATAATTTTGCAATTACGTTACATTGAATAAATTTCATTATATAGATTTTTTGTTCCAGGATTTTTTGTCAGTATAACAAAATGTCGTTATATTGAGACGCACTTGTATTGTGACTCAAAAAAGGTTTGCTATAAAAAACAACCGAAATTGAGCTATTACAAAAAAGCTTCGCAAACTGCTTTTACAAAATCTGTCCAACAGAATTCATCATTTTAAATGTTTGCTCTCACAAGAGAATTTATTCTCGGATTATTAATCGGAATTATCTTTGGATATTCCGTTTATTATAAAATCCACAAAAGATCTGCTGCGTATTGTAAATCAGAAAATTGATGAAGTAATCAATTTGATGAACCCGGAGAAAAAGTCTGAGGCTAGCAAACGATTTGGCCAACGTGAGAAATCGAAAACTTGTAGAACAATTTAATCCTATTATTGTACGAAAAAGAGAATTAAATCGGATTCAAAATTTTTATTTAACAAAATGGTACTCGAAATTCATAAGTTACTCGGTGAAGGAAAGAGCATTGCCGATTGTATAATAAAAATTTTTACCTACGAAGAACAACCCCGCGGAAGAAGTCTATTATGTTGGATTGAGGAGGAGAAGAAGAAGAAGAAACAAAGATGACGAAAATGAAAATCAAGGCTTAGATGACAATATTTAGATTTCGCACCAGAGTGACCAAAGAAAAGGTTATACTCATAAATGGCTTTGGGTCCGAGTATTTTTCCCCCATGCAATCACTCTGGTGCTTTTAACATTATTTGTATTTTTAAGAGCGCGCATTCAATAATCGAAATAAAAAAATTTATGCTTACAAAAAATTGAATTATTTTTACATGTTTGACTTTTTGATTGCAATTGTGTCAAAGTAGCGAAATATGAATCAACGCTCAATGAATGCGCTCGAGCAGTCTTTATCAATAAGGAACGAACTTCTATTGACGAGTCGTTCGATCGGTGGAGGCGTTGGCGAGAAGCTTTTACATTTAAATTTATTTCCCTTACGTCTCTTCTAATTTTCGTTTCTTTCTTGGTTCATCATGTTGTACAGTATACAAGATTATCAAAGCGTCACACTGCAAACATATATATATCGTAATACAGTAGTTTTTCCACTCACTTGTGAATATTGCAGATAACAAATCAATTAAGGTTAGAATAATAATACCGAGTTACTTGAACTCGGTTGCATTTCTTACCTTTATTTCAAGACCATATTATAAATAACATATATTATTATTGGGTTTTAATTAAACGGACGATCCGGAATTACGTTTATCAAAATAAGGTTTGCGCGACACGATTGGCAAAGGATTGTAATAAGAAGTGAAGACATACATAGAGATAATCATGGCTGTTTATCATAAGGTCTATTAATTTACGTGGGTGGAATATGGTTAGCGTCGTAAATATCGGATATGCAAAGGCATCTAATAAATTAACATGTACGTTGGAAAAGGAATTCGCACCGGAGATATTTATTCGATCAATGTCTTTTTTTCACTCGGTACTGTGGTATGCACAATACTGTCCGGGACAAAATTTTCTGCGCTGTGAAATTTTCATGGTAATAATAATAAACAGATTCTAAAACCGCGCTGTATATTTGTGATAGACATTAATTAAAATATGTTTAAATTTAAAAGCTATGCCTCTGCAAAGGGCTAATTTATTCGCTACTAGTTAATACCCTTCACATGCTGTTCATTAACTTAGTTTGTATATTTAATAGCTCCCAACTGTCATTAGTATGGAGTCTTTTAACCGATACGATGCACTTTTTCGCATACTGATAATGTGTTGGCATACAATTTGCATGTCGTAATACCAATTTAATATGGCAAATTTAAACAAAAAGTCATTGCCGTGCTTAATGTACTGTAAGTATAGGAGGGTTATGAGCGAACTAATAAAGCCTGAATTGCCCTGTCCTATCGTTATTGAAGAGAAGTAGAACAGAAATAAAAACTTATATGTTTCAAGTAAAAAGTAAAGAAATTAGCATAATTTGATCGAAAGTCGACCGGTCGTTGTCTAAATGAATGACAGAGTCTGCACTGATTATTCAGCGGTTGCATAATCATTTATAAAGTCACCGTTATTGATCGTGAGATTGGAATATTGAATGCCATAGCATTCGTTATCATGCATGCCGTACTCATCACATTCCACTAATCTCATCCAATGAGTGTTGCCGTTCATCAACATATGGAACTAGTCCGTAACACTCGGTTGATGGATCTTGTGCATTGTATCCGATCAATTCACCTGATGGGACATTTTCGTACGACACATTAATAAAACATATGGCGTTATTTAATAACGCGGATTCGTCTTCGACCAAAGTTTGGAGCCGTTCATTATCTCCTGCAGCGTTATTAACGACTTTTCTTCCTACTTGCTTTTTCTTATTGCCATTGTTTTCATTAGTTGTACGTTCTATAAATTTATCTTTGGTCACTTCTCTGAATTTTTTTCTTTTGTTTTGTCTCGGTCTGTAAATGTAGCCAGGATAAGTTTCTTTATGCCGCTGCAGAGACAATTTAGCGAGAGTGTCAAAATACTGTTTGACTAAAATCGGTTGACTTTTCCAATCTTTAGAAGCCATCTTAGAAATGTCTTGAATGCTGTATGAATTTTCAGAGTCTTGAGACTGTAACCTGCTTGCAAAATTTTGGCGAAAAAGAATCCAGTTGTTCGGGGGACGTGGGGGCTTCGAATTTTGAATTCTATGTCTTGGGTTGATAAGAAAATCGGGGTGAATGTGGAGCATATAAGGTGGGTTAAATAAGAGATAGAGTTTATAAAAAGTCAGAGTATCTGTAGAATAAAGTAGAGGTGTTGGAAAAGGAGGCATACTGGTTGAAAATAAACCGTTGACGGTTGTCATTAATATACCGATTTGTCGAAAGTATTTCGTTTAAATGTTTATCTTTTTCTATTCTATACTTTTTGCCTCATTCCTCCAGAAACGAAGCTTATATATCTTATCGCTCTCAATAGACTGTCAGTATTCTTGATGTGATACAACATCTATTTATAAATAATATATAATAATAGTATTGCTTACTATTTTCACCGCGATCTGGTTTATCTGTGCCCATTTGAATACTAAATAAATTTAATGCGAGTTAATTTTTTGCAGTACCATACGATCTTGCTGATAAGAATGAACGTTTATTGCATATGGGGTTAGTGTGCACCAAAAAATCATTTGGGTATTAAAGTTTGTCATTGATTATCAAACAATGTATCAAACAATGTATCAAACAATGGGGGTTTGTTCCGAATATTCTTCACTTTGATTTGATCTAAATATTCATGTTTGGAATAACAATAGCCGGATAAAAATAAACACACGAAACAACGTTTTTGTAAAATTGGCTTTAATTTACAGAAATTACTGACAGACCATATAGCACTGTTGTCTGAATTCAGTTGTCCCATTCCAAAACTGAGACAGGTCTCCAACTGAGGTGCAACAGCACCAACATGTTATTTATGTTATTTGACTTTATAACGATAAGTCAATTGACCATCATGTTAATTCTTATCCTATTGGATTTGTACAATCCGGGCGGGTTTTTGTAATAATAATAGTAAGCGGGCTCAAAAACGGGTTATTCTAAATATAGACGAGCAGCCTTAACCATTTAATTTTATATCATTTAGTTTTATGCTTGTTTGTCGTGGTATGACTAAGCGGAAAAGAACGGGCGTGCGTTTAATTAAGTAAGACGTAAACATAGTATTTTCAGTATGCATTTATTATTATTGGAAAGTTGAAAGTATTTGCCCCCTTATTACACATTAGTGGTAAATGCGAAGGGCTAAATATGAAGGTTTTTTCTATCATTTTTTTGTTATTATTACTATTATGCGAATCGCATTACCCACCCCGACTCGCGTAATTACTGTATTTCTTCCAGGATCCGGGAAAGCACAATCTCAACGATTAACCTTCGTACCGAATTCTGTATACTCTTTCTTAGTTCAGTCTTGAGACATTACAAGATGTCGGGCACAAACCCCGTTCCAATTGAATATGTTGCATATAATCTGCCTCGCCGTATAAATCTCGGACTTTGTACCAATTTCACAATGATATGAGAGCGTATCTTTACACATGTTATTCAATTTTAGTTTTTTCCCATCATTGAGACTGCGAATGACTTGTTTCTAATATTCTTTAGAAGCATTCGCAAAAGTTACAGTTATACTGTAACAGAAGTGGGAATACAGTTTATTTGTACTTCGAACTCCCTATCAGTTATTCTAGGGACTTTCTGGATTGAGCATTAAAAGAATTGTTTGCTTGATCATCGAATTACCGCTATTGTTGTATGTCAAAATGAATATAATTTGACGTTCTAATAATACGGTATACATATTATAACGACAATTCCAACTGTTATGTGACATCTGTAATATTAAAGGGTTGTTCCAATGTCTGATCTACCAGAATTTGTTTCATACTTGATGTCGAATACAATTTTCTGTTAACTGATCTCTCTACGCAATTACTGATACTTTCTGCAACGTATAAATTTGTGATGCATTAAGTTTAATATTAATGCAATGCTTCTTTGTTTTATTCTTTAAAAAATTTCTAACATAGTTATTAAGATTTAACTACTGCCTTTGTCATTTATTGCGTTGTCACTAATATATACAAAGTAAACGTCAAATAATCAAATCTTATAGTGAGAAATTATGTCAAAAGACATATACTGTGACGAAAAGTTTGTGTTTTATACGACTTTATTTCCAACCTATAATATCTTGCTACCAGACTCAGCTAAAGTTAGCTTTAACTTGACAAAGTCTGTGGTGAAATAAAAAAATGGGGCAGTAGAAAGGTCTTATATGAGAGAATAAGAAGTTAATGTAGTATGTGGTTACGTTATTGAGATACACTTCCCTGCCAAAAGTCTCCGAAATCAAATAGTAAACCATATGAAAAACTTTTATGTAAAAGTATCGTACGCAAGTAACAGGTAATTCTTGATTGATAGCACTTGTCGAAAATAATGAGGGGTGTATGGAATGCAATATTTTCTATCAATGGAAGTCGCAGCAGGTGAGAAGTTCAGTAAATGTATGTATGTATGTCTGTCACTTAATCGAGCCGTAGCATGTGTATTTAATATATTATTACTTGGTCAAAAAGTACAATTAATTTAGCTTCAAAATAGTATCATTGTTTGCTTGGCATAGTAAATCAAACAATAACGATAACGACTTTTGTGAAAAGCGTTTCCATATTTAGTTCCAGAAGAGTGTGTACTTCACTGCGTTATTTCCTCTATTGATTTTACAATACTCGCTCGTGATATGTCATTGACTGAATTCCGGTTTGAACCAATTCTTTTATCAGATATAGTAATGATGTGACACTCACGGAGGGAATTATGTGTAAACTCCGATCATTATTAAATCTCTTAAGTCCAGAAAGACTCGATTTCTTTTCGATGTAACCATGGGCATTGTTGATGATGCCCGTTCGGTCACCACAATAAATTATGCCTTTTGTATGAATCCCATCAAGTGAACCCCAGTTTGGATTGAAACCAGTTTTTTGTGAGCCCTGATTTTTTTGTTAAAATACACTGAGAAATTTTGCCCATTTCTAAGCTTGTTTCGAAAACATTCCATCTCCCATAATCCAAAATATCAATTTTCAAAACCATGGAAACCATCCAACCTCTGGAAGAAGCTCACACCAAAAAAAGTAAACGACCGCTGCCAGAGAGCGACACCAAAGAAACTTACGAAACAACAATTTCAATACCTGTCCGTGAAAGTGAATCCGTTGATACTGAAGTCAAAGTCAACGTCGAAACGGAAGAGTTCGGTTTTTGGAGAACAAATGCGTTCATTCTTGCAGTACTTACCTGCTTTATAGTACTGTTTGCAGTTAAAAATACGCCTATTCGTGTCGCCGTCGTAATTTGTGCGGTTATTTTTGCAAATCTAGTGTGTTTTTGCAAAGGATGCGCAAAGAAATCGGGTTAAATACAATAAGCTTGTTATACGACAATAAGATATGCGTTCTGCGAATATCTGACGATGTAAAGCAATGTAATAATATTATAATATTGTTCATAACGGTTGTTTTTTTTGCTCATTTTGCTCATAACGATAAATTGAAATTTTGTAAATTTTTAACGTTAGAAAGACATAGATGTAACAAACACCACTCGTATACTATCAAGAAGTATTATCATTGGTGAATATTTTAATTAACGTTTTCTCCGTTTTGCTTTATTATCGAATGTCTCAAAGGTGAACTAAAAATTGCTTCTTTTATACTCGATAAGATAAGATGGTCTTTTTCGGAACACAGACATAACAGAATGTACCGACATTAAACATCAATCTTGCCGATATAATCTATAATTATAATTTACATAGAGAAGTGTGTAAATAGCTACTATACTTTAACTGACAATAATCATATCAAATTAAAGAGCCAAAATTTCGGTGTTTTTTATATTGCTCAACTCGTTTGGTAATGAAATTATATTTGCAGCATGTCTATTGATAAAGCGAATTGCCTTTTCTGGTGTTCGAAATCATTATATCTTTAACACAATTCTTCAGTTAATACGTATCGACATTTAATTTGCAATTTGGAAAAAACTTAAAGTTTCATTGTCAAACATGGCAATGGGAAACCCATCATGATAGACTTATTCCGTACCCTCATATTTATAACCTGAAGCAGTTATTTTCGTTATATATTATATCGAGATATGCAATTTATTTCTAAAGAAAGCCATTTGTTTGAGGGATGATTTACGTATGACTTTTGTGTCCCAGACAATTATCAGGTAACTAGGCAAACTGAAATATTATGGACGTTGACAATAGTCTTGTTGAAAGTATATGCACTTTATTGATATTTCTGTACTTGCTACGTGATATTTCGGTCAACGCTAAATTGTTTGTGCATAAAATTGTCAGATCATTAGAAGTTGAGCCGTATATTATTTTATCCACACACACGGAAAACACGAGTTTAATGACTGTCGATTCCAAGTTACACTAAGAACGTCATACGAATAAGGAAAAGCTTACTTGTGCGATAATCGCTTAATGTCGACGTTTATTCTAAAATAATATTGTAACCACAGAGCCTGTAGACTCGAACAGGAAGACAAGCATAGCACAAAGAAATACAGAAATTTTTTTAGTTTTTACTGTGAAGTTATCGTTATTCCTAATTACGATAGCAGTCTCTCCCAAACAATAAAACCAAACCAGAAATTAACTCGTTTTAATCCGTACGGGCACAACATGCACGGACAGGCAATATTATTAACAGCAGTTGCTGATTGAAGGAAGTCGACTAACAAACATGGAGCAAAGTGCAAAATAATATTCAAACGTTGCAAACCATGCAAGACTATGTGTTTCAGAAGAAGTACAATTCTACATTGCAAACTGCCAACAGTCACCCATCACTAGATCGCAAACAACGCCGTACAACGTCATAGAAAAAGTATATCGTACCTCAGTTGGAAACCTGTCTCAGTTGAGGACTTTAATAAAAGCTCTTGTTATTGTAAAAACTATAGTTTACAATGCTACCCAAACGAATAGTCATTGAAACAGCAAAATAAAGCAAAAAAACAAAGACATATTTATTTGCTAAACGAATAAACGTAATAAGAGTAACGAGACTATTATCCATTTGCAAGACATCTCAGAACAAACTACATGCTAATGCTAATACTTTAAACGTATGCTTTAAACGAGCACATCTATAATAGTTCACTATGCTGTATATAATGCACAGAAATCGCATTACTATAACAAACGTGACTTACACGGTTTGATACGCTTGTCGCAAAGCTGCAGTCATTTGTAACTTAAACATACTCAACAGTGCAGTAATTGTTACGTGTAATATTATTGTATTAAATATGTATACAATATAATATACCACAAATTACTTGCGCTTATATAGATTATTCAAAAACTTATAATGTTAGCATATTAATATATTTGTAATAAACCCAGTTGTTTAAACCACTTATTGAATTGCTTTCACCCTAACCTGGTGTACAGATCTCATCGCAATTTTTTCAGTTTATACGAAATTGTTTTTACTATAAAGGGGAATATGCGAATCGAAAATATTGTTATCTACGGTGTCGCATTCATCATAACCTGTCTATAAGAATAACTTAATTATAATGCGATTCTGTGCATTATATACAGTATAGTAAGTTATTATAGATATGCTCGTTTAAATCATACGTTTACAGCAATAGCGTGTAGTTTGTTCTGAGATATCTTGCAAATGGTATAATAGTCTTGTTACTCTTATTACGTTTATTCGTTTAGCAAATAAATATGTCTTTTGTTTTTTGCTTTATTTTGCTGTTTCAATGACCATTCGATTGGGTAATGGTAGCGTTGTGAGCCATAGTTCTTACAATAATAAGAGTTTTGATAACAGTCCTCAACTGAGACAGGTCCCGAACTGAGGTACAACAGAAAAAGACTTTGAAAAGTATCGGATTTCATGTTTTAATACTAAATTTTGCCGGTCCGGAAATAATTTTGCTAGGTGAGCGTATGTAAATCTATGATTAATATTAACGTATGTAAATTTATGATTGTGCATCTGAATAATAATAATTATTGATTAAAGTTCTTTGCCTTGCCATTGACAAATGAAGATATTTCTCACAATGTGCGAGTGTGACAAAAATAAGCACAATTGTGGTCAAAGTAAAACGAAATCACGCTCATTAATGTCAGCAATTGCAATCTGTTGTCCTACACGATACTCTTTATGTAAAGTAGCAAGTATGTCGACTTTGCTCTGTGCTTGAAACACAACGACAACGTCAGATCCACCAAACTGAAAATAAGCAATCTCGTCTCCTTTCTTCACGCAAGTCCCTTTATGAGCGGAGATTTGCACAGAAGACACCTGAGCCATACCAACTGGTAAAACGGCCACTTTTCCAACTTTTGGTGAATCGATTATAATCAGACCACGGGCCTGACAGAATTGATAACCCGGACTATCTGGCGCGTAGAATCCTCGAACAGGGTTGAGTTTCGATTTGCCGTTAGGTTTTTTTTCAGGAACAACCTTGAAATAGGCCTGGCCTGGAAGGACTGTGGCTTCGAGTACTTTGCCGTCAACAGGAGCATGCACACGATGGTAGTTGTAGGGTGCGAGAAATGCGTGCATAAATTTCCCGCCAGCAAACTCGTTCGCATACTGACTGTCTGCAAGTAACTCGTTAATGCTCCAAGGAAGGCCTTTAACACTGAAAGTGACCGTTGAATCCTCAGTGATATCCCAAGAGCCGTCAAAGGTTGAGTCTGCAGGGCTCACAATAACTGCTGGATTATCAGGGCCATCAATGGGTCGGGTACCCGGCAAGAAATGTCGCGCAAAGAATTCATTGAAGCAATGCCCCAGCCACCCTCCTTCAGGAACCTGATAAGCATCCAGATCGTAATTCTGTGCGGTATAAAAGGTCTTTAGAGATTCTTCGGTAAGCGATTGAGGGGTAGAGAGAAAGTCTCCCATAGACCTGGCGAAATCGACTAGCCATTGGGATAAGGGCTTCAATTGCGGTAGTGGATACGATGAAGGCGTGACAGATGACTGAAGGTGGCGTACAGGCTCCTGGTCGAGGACAAAGTACATCGTGCAAAGCATATTATAAATATAAGTCCCTGATCTATTCTCTGTGGGCACCCACAACACCAAATGGTTGAGAAAATCGTAGTATTGATTCAAATTTTGTATATGGGCCATATCTTCGATATTATATTTCTGAGCAGCAATGATCGCCTTTTCAAACTTATCATTCCAATTATTGCGTTCAATCATGTATTTCAACCTTTCAACAATTGGCTGATATTTAGGCGTAGTTGCAATTCCCATGATATAATGTCGGCAGCGAAGTTTTTTGTAGGAATCAAGAGTTTGGAGGCGTTGGGGCAATGAAAATCCCAGATGTGTTCAAAGGGTTAGAGTTCAAGAATTCTGGACTTGGAGCGTGCTTAAATACCCATCCCGCGCAGTAAGCAGTGTTTATCGGTTAGCTGGAGTCGCATGCTTCTGAAACGTTACTATGACCTCCTAAAGTCCTACTCGTTATGTATGCAAAGAAGAACTAACATCCAAAGTGGAATTACGGGCCCGCACAGCCTACGGCTGTGCAGCCTATACAAAGACAAATTTTGGGAAATCCCGTTTGTTTGCATGATTCTAAAATCAGCGAAACGTTACTATTACTTCCTAAAGTTCTACCCGTTATGCAGAGTACTAGCACAAAGATTGGGAAATCCCGCACACTATTTGTGATCTTATACTTCCACTGAGTGTGTGATTCTGAAAATCAGGGAAACGTTACTACTTCCCAAAGACCTTCCCGTATGCAAAGAGCTGAACACCACCACGCAATTCCCTAACTTCTGCTCGGAAAGTTACTGTTACCTCCTCAAGCCCCATTCCAGCTATGCCAAGTACTTGACACAAACATGATTTGTACAAGTTTGACAGTTGACAGCTCCCATTTGGTGTTTGATGTGATCCTAATATCTCAGTATAAATTTCACTCATTTGTATCCCAATCGGCATATCCCTATCCCCAAATTTCACAGATCATACTTCAATCGTGCTACAGAATATCATGTTATTAAACTTTCCTTTTTTGTTGGTTAGTGCATTACGATTAATGCTGTGCACCATACTTTATGACCTGGCATGTTACTGTTACTGCATACTGTATATGACCTGATTAAAATAGCATGTCATGTTTATATGACCTGATCTTTTCAATCCATTGCAAATAGTAAGTAAACGGACCATCTTCCTTATCCCAGAAATTAGTTTATTGCCAAAAAGGATGAAATTGTTTATTATATTCAGTTATATCCCACTCAGATATATCCCCAAAAAGTCTCTGTCCCAAAATGGGGATATAAACGAGGGATGACTGTACTATCAATTTATGCATTCAGATATGAGCCACAATGTCAAAAACTTAAAATTATAAATTAGTGTACAAATCAGTAACACAATACGCATATTAATATGTATATTTGGAGTTGTAGCATTTTCAAGAACAAAGAAACTTGGGTATGAACAATTTATCGCATCTGCAATATAGTACCGACGTAACTTTTGTGTACTTGGGTTTCATTATGATTCAGCAGCATGAGCAATCGCAATCTGTTGGCCCATGTTATAATGTTTACCTGTCTCGGCAGTTACTTCAACTCGGCTCTGTGCTTGGAACACGAGGACAACATCCGACCCGCCAAACTGAAAATAGCCTACTTCATCCCCCTTCTTTACCTCTGCCCCGTTGCAAACAGTGATTTTCACGGAAGACACTTGGCACATACCAACCGGTAAAAAGGCAACTTTCCCGACTTTTGGTGAATCGATTACAAAAAGACCACGAGCCTGGCAGAACTGATACCCCGGATCGTCCAGACCCTCGAGTTCTATGTGTCGAACAGGGTCAAGACTCTGTTTGCCATCAGTTCTCGTACGAACAATAACTTGGTAAAAGGCCTGGCCGGGGATGATTGCGGCTTCAAGCACTTTGCCGCTAACAGGAGCATGGAAACGATGATAGTCGGAGGGTGAGAGATATGAGTGCATAAATTTCCCGCCAGCGAACTCATTCGCATACCGACTGTTTGCAAGTAACTCGTCAATACCCCAAGTAAGGCCTTTAATATTGAAAGCGACTGTTGAATCCTCAGTGATATCCCAAGAGCCGTCAAACTTTGAGTCTGCAGGGCTCACAATAACTGCTGGATTATCAGGGCCATCAATAGGTCGGGTTCCTGGCAAGATGCGTCGCGCAAAGAATTCATTGAAAGAATGCCCTAGCCAGCCGCCTTCAGGAGTCTCGTAGGTATCCAGATTGTAGTTCTTCGCTCTGTAAAAAGTATCCAAAGATTCTCTGGTAAGTGATTGAGGTGTAGAGAGAAAGGTTCCCATAGCCGTGCAATAGTCGACTATCCATTGGGATAGCGCCGTCAATTGCGGCGGTGGGTATGGGGCAGGCGCAATGGGTGACTGAAGTCCTTTGACAGGATCCTGATCAAGGACAAAGTACATTGCTGCTAGCATGTTGTAAACGAAAGCTCCTGTTTCATCCTCCATAGGCACCCACGACTGCAAGTAATTAAGAAAATTGTAGAAGTCTGTCAAAGTCTTTATATGGGTCATATCTTCGACACCTGTATTGTGAGCATCAGCGACCGCTTTCTCAAACTTAGTCTTCCAGTTGTTGCGTTCAATCATGTATCTCAGCTTTTCGACAATTGGCTGATAAGACGCAGGAGTAGGAAAAGGCCCAAGAGGTTTGTCAAACATCGTTGCGACTTTGTAAAAAATTAAGCGTATATTCCAACAAAATCAACAAGATCCCAATTGCAAGAACGCAAGGATTTCTGGCTCTTGAGTGGGCTTTGAATATTCGTTCTGCTGGCAATACCATGCCGACTTTATTGGCTAGTTGGATTCGAACATTACTATTACCTCTCAGCCATTATCGTCATGCCAAGATCACACGATGAGTTAAAAGTTGAATGGTTATGATATCAGAGTTTTACCCATTTATTATTTATGGCAACAAAAGAGCTGCCACTATTGGGCAGGAAATGGCGTAAAGTATACCATACCAATTTCGTATTATTCGATCCGATCTATCATTATTTTATCTTATCAATAATTCATCACAATGTGTCGATTTTCGATATAAGCGTGAAAGAATTGCAATTTATTTTGATTGATTCGCAATATGCACATGCTACAACTAATGAGCGACGTCATGTGATAGTGACGGTCCGAGCTTAGGCTGATTCACTCCCAGAACAAACAGCTTATTATGCAAAGGCGATTAAACTTGAAAAATTTAATATTAATTGGGTAATCTTGTTCGATCAATTATTTCTCGATTATCCACGCAATCATCCTATAAGTTCCCAACTAATATACACAATATACAATCACTCGCTAAGGCTTTTGAAAGGCTACGCTCTGTAAAAGTTATAATGATACATGCTCCGTACGTTTTAGTCTACGGAAACGGGACAGCATACTGCTGTTCCTGCATCATAGATCAACAGATTGCTCTTTCGAATTCAGTATGAAAAAGAAGAGAGTTATAAAATGTGTTGTAATTCTTGTATTTTTTTTCTTGTCACAAGAAACGAAAATGTAACCGTAGGTTTCATTGTCCGATCAACGAAGTTGCGTGGCTTTAATTGAAATCTCCACCGAAAAGCCTTAGCTGAGGATTAATGCCACACCGAAGAGCTGTTACTACAACAGTTGGGAGTTAAACGAACAGGCAAACGCGCTTGCTGCAAACTTGTAAACTTGAGAACTTTTGCCTTTTTATTTTTAATCATTATTAATGTATTCAATTAGTATCAATTGTCTTTGACATGGTGAATACGGTGGACTTTCCAAATTAAAGCCACACGCACATAATAAATTATGCTGCTGATTTTTGCTTTCTTTGACAGAAATACGAGTTTGTTCATTATATATCATAACAAATGTATACGATAAAATAATATTACTGTTGCTCCTCTTTCTAATCGAAACATTTTATTGCGTTAATTTTTTTAATCCTATTTACTGCTTTTAAATGTTCTTTGGAGTTAGACTTTGTAATCTTTAGCTGTTCTTCAGAGTTTAAATCTTTACTCGAATGGTTTCTTTATTTTCTATTTTAAATAAGCATTAATTAATTTCAGATCTCTGCACTCTTTATTCCTCTTTTTCACTTTTTACTATATTTTGAGATTTAATTTTTTTTTCTTTCTTTTTTTCTCATGTCTCTTCATTTCCTCGTTTTATTTAACAGTTACGTGTATTTGTAATAGACTTTGAATTTGAATAAGAAATGGATTCCGGTACTTTATTCATGAATTCCTTCACCGAGAAAACCTCTGCTCACATAATAAGGGGGATTTCGATCGTGAATCGAATTATACAAAATTATTTGCTTACAAAAATGTCTTGGATTAAAAGAAATTTTCGGATAAAACGGAAATCTAACGGATTTTGCTAAACTTTCGCTCATGCATATGATCGGCGCTTGATAAACTTTTTGTTTTTAATCTCATCAAAAATCATACTCAGCGTGCCAATAAAGTCATTCCCTATTATATCGTCTTTATCGAGAATGTAATTAATTTGTTCGCGTACTGCTTTATTTTGGATACTCATAAATGCACTTCACGTGGAACACAGTACTTGTGCTCAATCGTAACTATAAATGACCAGCAGCATCAACGTTAAAATAATCAATCCTATCTCTCGTCATAAAATGCTCATTTATTGTTAGTAATTATTTGAGTACATGACAAATATTCCCATTAGTCGTTTGGTCGCCTTTGTTGATAATGTGCACTTGTTAGAATAAGATATTATCGCAATTTGAACGAAAATCTCCTGGACCCATCATTGATATTACGTAAAAAGAAACTTACGGCATAAAAGTGTAGTTACACGCAAAGCTGCGAAACATAGTCTTTGAGGTTGTATATTTTAATTAAAGTATTTGTTCATCATAACATCTTCAATTTGCAACTTTGTTGCTGTAATGAGTCAATTTGATAGTAGCTGGGTTATTATTATGGTTTCTGACCTAAATTGTACAGACTATACTACTCAAGATAATAAACAATAGTTTTTATTTATAATACATGTGCACTTAAATACAATCATCAATGATTACGCATCAAACAGAACGCCAAAATAATATTACATTCATTGTTCTGTATTGACCTTCACCACATATGACTCACTCCAATACATGTCCGGTAATTAGAACCTTAATGGCACCATTGGTGGCATTCCGTCATCATCTTTTAGAGAAGAAGACGAGGAAGAACCTTGTCTACTTCTGACAAATCCCTTAATAGGACCAGTCGCGCGTTTTCCCTTACTGAGTGGCTTATGTTTATGTTGTGCTTCATGACAAATAGGACACTGTGGAGGACGCCCTAAAGATCGTAGTAAAGTGGTATGTCTGATTTTTGGAGCTATTCCAAAACGTCCTCCAGCTGGTTTCAATGGTTGATTAGACAATTCAAAACTTTCCGAGTCCAGAAGGCATTGTTGGTGATACGCATGTTTGCAGAAAAATATTATCGTCGTCGCCTTTGGGTCTGGCGTTGAGTTTAGATCTTTTGTGTATTCAAATATCAAAGTGAAAGTGACATGAGTGAAACTGGTGGATGTACTTTATAGTACCGACCGAACAAATTGAGCGAATCTTTTCATAGAATAAAGTAAAGTACTTACCGTCTCTAATAATGGTCTCTTGGCATATAGAACAATTCAATTCAGCTGCAAACATCAAAAACTAGTCAGCAATTGCAACACACCTATAGTTACTAGATTTCAAAATTTTTTATTAGCACTAACCTTCACAAGATATGCCATGCTTCTGCGCTTGATTGAGCTGATAAACCATTGCTACACTGTCGTTCACTAATATTTTTTCGCAGCCCTCTCGCAAGGATGCTTGCAGATTGTAGTCTTGTAAGACTTTAATGAGGGCTTGTTTCAACCCAGGTATCTCCAATCCTCCCGGAATACGGCGTATCATAGCAATAGGATCAATGTTGGTGCTGCCGAGATTTTCGAGAAGCCCAATGATGAAGCCTTGTCAATTCGCGGTTGAGTATAGAGACATTTAGTTTTATTAGATGAACCAGCATGCGATATCGCCTTTCATATTGAACATAAGGACTTACGAGGCTTGTCTAATGAGTATACAAGTAGGTCTTCCCAGAGTATTTCGTTGTCTTGTTCTTTCGCAAAATCAATGGCCTATATCAATAACAATCATTAACAGGGATGGTCGTATTGTAGCTGACTTTCACTAAACCTCGAAAAATGACTTACGCGTTGTACGTCTTGCAAGCGTTCGATGATCAACATCAACGCTTGCTTGTTGTTGCCCATACGTCCGAGGATGAAGACCATCTCGGGTACCAAGTCTCTTTGTTTACATATCTCGTAGGCCTGGAACAAATGGACTAGCGACGTTAGCACGAATACTAATGTTGAACGTCACTATAATTCATTAATTATGATGTTAAGAATTCAAAATTCGCACCCGATCAAGCGAGTAATAATTACTCGTACGTAGAAATTCCATGAGTCCATCATATTCGTATTCGGCATACAATTCAATCTAGATAGTGGAAGGTCGTTAGGAAAATACGCAAGTTGACTAAGCATAGCCATTATGATCTACGCGCATTACCTGCATGTCGTGATACTCATAACCGAGATGAGGATCGTGGTGGAACAGTGCATCCAAGTAAATGTACATAAAGTACGGATTTTCTTTTAATTCCCTGACAACCAAAAAAGTCTATAACGTATTGGATTAGCAACGTATTGGATAAGCAATTGATCGTTATCACACGACAACTATTCATAATACTATATTTAAGCATAACATACTGGTACGAGCTCTGTATTCTGAACCAATAATTGCACAGCAGGTCCTTCACTCTGTCTCTTCGCACGTGATTTAGTTGAGTTTTTTTGGGCAGTATCGCCATCCGCGCTCTCACTCTGTTTTTCCTTTTTCTCTCTCTCTTCTTCCTCCTTCATCAAATGCTGATCAAATTCCATAAGCAATATTATTCTGCCTTCAAGAGCAGAGAATAAATTATAGTCACGAATCAACTCGAAAACATTTGGACGGCGTAGCCTGAGGTTATATTCTAGAGCTTTATCTGGTTCGCGATTGTATGCATATCTGAGAATCGAATATTTGGTTAAGAAAAAAAAATAACATGTGACAGATGACTGATACTTTTTCTGGCTTTCGCGGTAAACTTACAATTCAGCCAAACATTCCATTAAAATAGGATTGTCATTCTCTTTGATTAGAGCCTCTTCAACCAGGACAATGACACTTCTTATATTGTATAGTGTCGAAGGCCAATTCATAATGGTTTTTACCAGAGACTATAGAGAAAATATTATTAGTGAGTTGAGGCAGCCGTGCAGTTGATCCGTTTTCATAATTATCATAGAGTTATTATTGTATAGCATACCTGATGGTCATTCTGTAGGAAGTGTAATAATACCATTTCGTACACCGCATCACTCAATTGAGGGTTTTTGTATGGAATAAATGGGGTAATTGACTGTAACAACGAATATTGTTAATTCCAATCGCAGATATATCCTGCAAACAGTGTTAACTCTAGCTGACCTGTAATTGCCACATATCAGCAAAGGCATATATCCATCGCTCCCACAGCTCAGCGTCGTCACCGAGTATATTGGGACATTCCGCCGCCGCCTTATCAAACTCCTCTGCAAACGAAACGTATTTAGTAACCACATACCAATATGGGATATAAGTTGCCTGGAAAATACATGAACGACTTACCTTTTCCTACTAGATACTCTAAATACTTTTGCCCCAACCCTTTGATTGTATATGCACTAGCAACATTACGAATGAGTGCTTCTCTAAGCGATTGCAATGCCTCCTCATATCTTGATCTCTCCTTTAGCCATTTAATATGATCGTCTAAGTCACGCTCTCTCGCAACTACAAGATCTTTGGGGCTGACTACGTAGAACATATCTTCTGATGACAAATAGTCCAACACATAGTCGTTCGGTTGATAATGTTGAAATCCATGGAGGCGTAGAGCATCGCATGAAATTTCTTCATTGGCTGAGTCGATTATGCGCAGTTCAGGGGGTCTGGCTTTCTATACGATTTAATTAAAGAGTTAATAAGCTGAACGTAAAAACGATGGTCAAAATAACGCAATAAAAATTACCTGTCGTTTCTGTTTCTCCGGGTCATCTGTTTCTTCATGTTGATGTATGTCGGCAGTTGGATACGCCAATAACAGCATCATATCTCTAAATGGCGCGATACCACAGACGATAAAATCTGTCGTGATTCTGATGACATAAAATGGCATATTAGTATCCACCGGTTTAATATCAAGCATAAAATAACGCCTGCTGCTTACTGTGCGATAATTTCTGCATATAACGGTGGCTTGCCCTGTAAAATTTCTTGCCTAGGAGTATCCTACAAAAAACAGTTCACGGGACCCTGTCAATAACTTTTGACATATTTGTCCTAATTAACGATTTAACCTTTTTCTTTTCATCTTAATGCTAAACTTACTCTGACTATAGCAACACGTATACTGTCGGCCCATCCAATCATTAACGTTGTGTCACTGCGCCAACACAGATTGCATCGATATAAGTCGGCTCTTGGACTATCAGAAGGTCTAGCAATCCAAGTAATACGGTTCTGCGAGTTTGTATCATACATCTTTACACCCTGTTATATAACATATTAGAATTCACATTACATCTACTCGTCATCATAATCTCAATGTCTACCAAACACGCTCATCTATAACAAGTTTCCAACCTCATCATTAGCCCAAGCAATCAATGATCCTCTCCACTTGACAGCAGTAATAGGTCCTTCACCAGAGCCTTGTAACGGCGTGTCCTTATCGCCAAACCATCCTATCACGTATAATTCTTGCATTAAGATGACGTACGTTTATCGCACAACAAAAGTTTAGTAAACAAACCTTTTTCCCTCAGATGCAATATTCCTGCCATTCCGCCACATACAAACGGACGCGTCTTCTTTCTATTATATTCTGGATCCAAGGCGACACATTTCACCGGTCGTTTGTAGTCGTATACTTCTACAGGATATACTTCTTTGGAATCGTTGGATGCGGAACTTTCTGGGTATAAACCATATATTGCAACTTTTCCTATTAAGACAAAATACAATCATTTATAGATGATTAAAATTTGAAGTAATACTGATTATGCATCCATGATCGAGGGTTATCCTACCGTCAAGTGACGCGCTTGCCACATACTCTCCATTGGCATCAATAGAGATATCAGACACAGACGCAGTATGTTTGGTGAAGCGATTAACAACATCTCCCTGAAAATCAAGTAAAAGGACTGAACCATTATGGGTGCCCAGAACCTAAATGATGGGAATATATCAAAGAATTAGCAGAGACGTCTACAAATTCCAACGAAGATCAACGATTCGGCGAATACACATTCACATTAAGCGTCATCTGCACCAATTTACATTGTAAGTATTTCAACGTACAACAAACCGTTCGGATACAGCCATAGCACTCGCCGAGTCTTCTTTCAGTACTTCACCGACACTCGCACCAAGTCTCTGATACTTCAACTTTGGCTCCTCTTCTTCTTCTTCTTCTTCTTCTTCTTCTTCTTCATCGTCGTCGTCGTCGTCGTCGTCGTCCTCCTCCTCCTCCTCTTCTTCTTCTTCTTCATCGTCATCGTCGTCGTCGTCGTCTTCTTCCTCCTCTTCTTCCTCCTCGTCCTCGTCTTCACTATCGTCCTCGTCAGTATCGTCGTCAGTTTCCCGTTCGTCGTCCTCTATTTCTTCTTCGATTGACCCATCAGCAACCTCGTTATCGGGTTGAGGCATTTCAAGACGTTCGCCTTCAGTTGATAAAATTGTATCTTTGGAATCCATTTGAAGAAAGGAAAAAGAGGGAAGACGAGGGAAAGAGAATGGTAGGAACTCTTTTTTTAGTAAGGAAAATAACTATGGTACAATCTGTGATGAGATTGTAAAAACCAACCAATAAAATGCGACATTAAATATGGCATAATAAGTATAATTAAATATTCAACTGTAAATTTTTTTGATCAGCTACTATTAGTCCTGATCCTAAACAATTAAATTATTTGTAATGATTCGAAGGTAATGCAAATATTACGCTCTGTGATTAAAAGGATTACAGGCCATTAACAAGACTTGCAAGGTTGACTATTCACAGAATGTTATAGCTTAATTTTCAAGTGCTAATACTAAACGAAATATGCTTTAAAGGCCCAGCTAAAATCAATAAAATAATAGAGAAATACCTCCCAGGCAAATGTCTTAAAAAAAACATTTTATTGTTGAGATCGCTTTGTTAGAAATTGGTCGCACTCATTGGGAAATCACTTGGCAATGAATAGCATGACACCGCGTGTTTAAACGAATGTCGCAATAAAAATCGAAAATAACAAGTGATATATAACCGCTGCGACCGCTTTTAATTTTTAAAAATTAAAATGCTTGTACAATTAATACTTACGGCTATGAATTCAAGCCTCACTTATAATTCTGATCGGGCGTCCGACGACTGTAAATTGCCACATTTTTACAATCGATCAAAATCACAAACATAAATAATCACTATCAAATGCATTTTGTTCCATAAAAAAAATTTTGCAAAACGTTCACTTCCGTTGAATTTCTTTGTGAAATATCAATCGGACTTATTTTCGGTCTCTCGCTGCATTATAAACTTACAATCGGCTCAAACAATATAAACGAAAAATAAGTCGAGTAGTCAAAATCTAGACCACTAAAATACTCAGCGAGCAAAAATCAGAAAACATCGATAATTTTTGACAAAAACTTGAGCCAGACTCAGCCTTTTCGTTAAAAAAATGGGCAACTGAAATCTACACGTTACGTGAATTGCAGCCTCAACTCTAAAACATCTGCCTGTAAAAACCCATCCGCCTGTCGAAGCAGCACAGGAATGGATTAATAGAGAAAATGAGAGAGAAGAAGAAACGTTGACAGCATTAATAATACTGTACAGCATAGATTTACTAGTGTGACCAAAGTATAGGGTACTCATCAATGGCTTTGGGTCCGAATATTTCCTCCCATGCAATCGCTCTAGTAAATTTTCGCATATACCTACTTTTGTTTTTAAAGAAATAATAAAGTCAAGATGACAAAATATGTAAAAAAAAACGCCTCACGAATTGTTCCAACTTAATAAAAGCATGATTATCCCATACTTATAATCGTGTTTATCATATAGATTACAATCACAAAAGTAACGTTTGTTGATGGAAATTGTTAATTGTTATTACGTGTGGTCCATTGATTATCATTGGTCACACAATCCTCTGAATATGTACAGCGTGTAACGAAAAACCGCCTTCCGAAAATTGAGTAAAGAAAACAAGGGTGTGTGTTGTTATTGATGACAAACGCGTCTTTATGTTTAATTACTCCCCATGTTAGTAAACGTATTTAAGTAATGATTATCGTAATTAGTCCCGTTGTTGTTCCCCTTGTCCTTTGCAACCATGGAGAGACTTGAAGTTCAACGACAAACAATTATCATTATTGGCTTAATATTAATGGCGTCCAATCCTTAAAGGAAAGACCAGTATCCCTTATTGCATCGAAAACATGTGGTATATTGTCAAGAATAAGATTGAAACATGAATTCCAAGAAGTGTTGACGAATAAAACAATTTATGACCGAAGAATGGATGCGATTCCAGAAACAACTGTACAAAATTTAATTTCATCGATGAAAAAGAGGTGTGAGCTTGTTTGGCAGAAAAATGGTGATAGAATTTCGTATTGAAAATTATACACATTATAAGCTTTTAAAAAAATTGGAATTGTTTAAAAATTTAGGTCATTGAATTATGGTATATTTTATGATAGCGGTTTTTTTCGTTACACTGTATCTTCGAAAAATAAAAGATTGTGACGGAACACAGCGCGAAAGCTGCCTCGAAGCTAATTGTACTTGTGGTGAACTGACTTGGATAAAATAACTTGTCTGTGTGGGCATCATGCAGGCCAGCATGAGAAAACTCAAGGTAAGCATAAATGAAACATAGCCCGGATAACAACATGATTCGGGTGTTGCGAACATAGAGTAGTGTGTGTGTATAGGGTAGAGTAGGTATATACCAAATTTTTACATTATTTGCACTTTCTTGTAAGTAGCGTCAAAACGGAGTTACAATGTCAAATGCCCACCCTGACGTTAACCGAACACAGGCCCGTAGAATAAAGTATATGAGCGACAAATCGGATCACTATCGGCCAGGAGAACCATCGGTCTTCTTCAAGAAATCAAACACATTCCGAGGGGAGGATGTTTATCCTCTGTGGTCGACCTGAAGCTGCTCCCTGCCAGTATCTTTATTAAAACCTATATTCAGCCAATTCCTAATCGATACTCGGAGCTATCAGCCCATAGCAGACGATATTAGACTTGTAGACGGAGGCATGATAACAAGACATCACGAGTGGCCGACTTCCGCTCTGCTTTACAAAATCATTACAACATCCAACTCATCGCGGGACCCGTCCACAAAACTGGCTATGTTACAGACGGCCATCTCGCTGTGAAAGACTGTTTTTACCTTATCACAGAGTGTAAAAATGAAGTAGGTCTACCCGCACTGATCCATTTCTTCAGTCTGCAGATTACTACTATTATTCCGTAGTTAAAAAATGGATCATGCTTTCCACAATCCAATCTACCTTGCTTGCACTTATATTACGCCGGTAAGTTTATAAGTTGACGTTCTCTCCCTAAAAGCAATCTTTCAAGACACACTGATCAAGCTGATATCACACACCTACCTATACCAGATCCATATTCCCATATTGCCAATACATATCACGTGAAGGTGTCACTGTCCACTTGAAGTACAAGACCCAGTTTTTACCATGCAGTTTGATATTCATTGGAGAAACACTTGAGGAAAATGACCAAATATTTGTCAAATACACCCAGACATATTCAGTAGAAAAGCTCATGAGGTTTGTGCTCATCTGGGGTATGCACCAAAATTACGTGCTTGTCAGAAAATTAATGGTGACTGGTATATGGTGGTGATGGACCATGTCAATACTACTATTACTATCGATTGCTAGTTCTACCACTAATATTAATAATATTACTGGTATTACATATTAATAGAATAAACATTAAACAACGAAATATCGTTATACTATCTCAACAACTAATTTTGTTACAAACATGATCATCTTAGCTAACTTTTAGTCTTAATATGAAAAAGATATCTTTGTTACGAACAAACAGCATAGTCGATGTACTTGTGCTTTACATAATCTCCTTCGTTTTTAATACATTGATGAAATGTTATAATTAAAGTAAATATATTATAAACGTTAAACAAAGAACACCGCTCTAAAACATCTTTCCAGAGAGGAATTTGTACGCTCCACAATCTGCACATTACACAAACTTTTCAAGCCGCTCATTAGTTAATTGAGAAATTGCTGAGATTGCTGGGGTAGTTCTCTGGAAAAATGTTTATTTTGAACATTCTAATTAGATTCGACTAGCCTAATTGAGAGTTTATTACGACAAGTGGTGTTCTTTGTTTAACGTTTATAATATATTTACTTAATTATGACATTTCAAACAAAGAAAGTTATGTAAAGTATAAGTACATTGACTATGTCGTTTGTTCGTAACAAAGATATCTGTTTCATATTAAGACTAAGATTGTAACAAAATTAGTTGTAAGCGACTGAGAGATATAACAAACAACGATATTTCGTTGTTTAATGTTTATGTAATAGTAATAGTAACAGTAATATTATTAGTATTAGTGGTAGAATTAGTAATCAATAGTAGTTTATTCATGAGTGGTAATAATAATTCTACTAAGCAATAACGGAATGTACCAAGTCATTATTGCTATCAAAATAAACATTTCTCCAGAGAGGAAATCCGTACGAAAATTTAATAAAGAGTTTTAATGGAATTTCTCTTATAGGATTTGAAATATCCAATTTCATTTTATTGCTTCTATAATATATTTATCATCAGCTTGAGACATAGAAAAAGCATGACTCCCATTTTTGCGTATTGAAAAACACGATCTGCACATTACACAATTAATTGATATATAACTAATGGTATTACACGAATTACTATTTCACACGATGGTCCGATCCCAACGGCGTGTTTCATCTGTAGTAATATAGAACAAAAACCAATAAAACGCCCTCATTTTTAAGCTCTAGGGGGAAAAAACAAAGAAAGAAAAGAACTAACAAACGGCGATTAACACAACATTATTGACAACTTAGAGCCAGAGTTATTCCTTTTTTTACTACGAGACTCATTTCCGTCTGTATCGTACTACATGTTTGATACGTGTAACATGCTGCATAAATTTCTTCCCGATCAAAATAGTAGTCTGTTGTCGATAATCTAACCAAACAATCTATGAGTTACTTGTACGCCAAATTTGAAGCTAAAAGATAAAGAAAAAGTCCCCAATTAATTAATTAAACTCGAATCCGTGCATCGAGCCGGAAAAAAAATAAAAGCAGCGTGAGGTCGCCAAAGCTTTCAATCAACAAGATTCCTCGACAATAGAAATCATAGCTGAGCTACTCCATCATACAAATTAAATACTTCAACTCTCCAAACTATCACGATAATTTATCCAACTAAAATGCAATTCTCTCGAATCACTGCTCTTTTCGTTCTCTGTGCTTTGCTCGGTCTTTCCTTTGCCGCACCAATCAACCGCTCTAAAGAACGCAAAACTCTTGTCGACGGCTCTCTCCACGGTATTGAAGAACGCCAAGCGGTGTGTCCTGTTTGCGCCTGACAAAGGGAAAGCAACTGCAGTATAATTTTACAAGAGAATTCATGTTCTGTATTGAATATGATCTGTCTACTTGATTATTCTGGTTGGAAATAATATTATTTATCGAGGAAAGTCAATTTTGTGTCAAGCTTGAATTATAGATAAAATGTTCGACTTTTTGTATTGAATAAATAAATAAATGTATAATTCTTGGTATAACAAACTGAATGTCAACATTAAGTGACTAAATTGTGTGCGTGCGTTCTTCGTCAACATGGGCGTAAAGACGGAGGGAGAAGAGAGCAAAAAAACCTTTTGTAGAATAAGTGAGAGAGAAATGTAAATCCAAGAATTATTCTGTTCGTAACATCGCGAAAAGTTACGGGCCTATAAATCTTTTCGTCATATACATAGAAATTGGGTTTACGCGATATTTAGAGAGCATCGGCAGCATTTATTTGCTTGACTGTCAAATTAGAAAAAGAAAGCTATTTAATTGCTTTCATCAAATAAAGGTTCATGATATCGCTTTTTTGAAAAAGCTTTACATCGAGTGAACGATAAACTTATTGTTCCTGCTTAAGAATAAAACTGTACGGATTTATTGTACAAATTATTCTGTAATCGCTCTAGTGAATCTTCAAATATATCTATTTTGTTTTAAAGAAATAATAAAGTCAAGATGACAAAATACGTATCAATTATTATAAATGTCTGATTACGTTAACCTTTTGCAAATGTTTGAGCAAAAAAACGAAACTCGACACTTAACGAAAACGAGGTCTCTATTCATATCATTGTACTCATATAAACTACAGTTACAGGAATAACGTTTGTTGGAGATTGTTCCTTTGATCTCTGTTCAAGTAAACGAAGCTTTACTTTTACATACGGTAGTCATTATGTGTACGTTCATTCTAAAATGTGGGTGAATTGGTATTACTGTGCGCGTAATCGTTCGCGAGGGTAAATGTGATACACCTACCATCGTACGACATCTTCAGCCAGTCATCATAAGTCAGGTGATGAAGCAACATCACATGAAGGATCGCGAACAACTACGCGTTACTATTACGGGGATTCTGGGTAATAGTAATTGCATAACTTTTACAAGTTTTAAACCGTGATCCGGTGATGTCTAGTGGTGAACAATATCTAGGCTACGAAAGTAAGTAGCTATTCGTAATACTAAGCCGAAGCTTACATATAATATCGTTCCTGGATAACAGATTCTGATCAAGTCTCAAGTTCTACGTTCTTACTTCGAGAAGCGCGATACTTGGTCATTTCGCGAGTTTCTAGTTCTGAATCGAGATGATATAATAACAATTCCTCCTGATTGTGGTGAGTGGTTTGGCCTTGAAGCAGCCTGGAAGACTCGATATCTGAGTGCTATCAAGGATTTGATTCCCGATAATTACGAAGCATTGAAAAAAAAGGTTATGTCTGTAGTTTAGATTACGCAATTCCTTTGTTTGAATCAAAGCTACAAAAAGGGAGCGTCTAACCAGTGATCGGTTGGTTAGAGGTATTCAGTGTTCGGCTGACCCGAGTGATGATGGTTGCGCCTCTAGTCAGTGATCGGGTTGACTAGAAGGTGTTCAATGTTCGGTTGAGCGCCATCATTGCGACTTGTGCTTTGTATTCACATTTTCACTTTCTTTGGATAATTTATTAACAAATTTCACAACATTGTATCTCTCACACAGCTTAACGATGAGTGTTCTGATAAAAAATTAATGATGTATTGGGAAGATATCCTCTGTGTTAAAAAAGAAGTAAGAGTCAATATATTTATGTATCCACCATTTACTTATCAGCTGATTGTTGCTACCATTTATTATTATTATGCAGTTGTTGGTGAAAACAATTCACAAAAGAGGAACTCTGAATATTCTTAGTGAAACAGGAAGATACTATTCTAAAAAATTGGCTTTTGACATAGAAGGTGAATCTATCTCAATAACACCAACTGGATCCAGTTCATCAGGTAGGATGCAAGATACAGAGAAGGAGTATAAATCCGTAAGCAGACTTACCAAGAGATTTCTGGACAATGCTGAAACAAGCTCATCGAAACGGTTAACAAAGGTAATGACTGCTTCATATTACAACTTCGTGCACGTTCTCTTCATTAAATATTTAATTCCTGTTAGCAGGAGACACATGAACAAGACTCAGAATCAAGTGATGGCTTATACCCCAATTCGGTTGACCCAGATTCTGAGGGACAAGATGATGGATATATGACTCCAACACCGTGTTCTATTGAAGATCCTTTTGCAGAAGGCGAAGAGGTCATAATCACTGATGTCTCTTCACATATACCATCATCGAGTTCAGAATTCGACATGCATATAAACGATGTTAACATATCCGCCAGGTTTAGGAAATATGTTGACGGGGCTGTATCACTGGCAAAGACTAAGGGATTATACGTCGAGATGAATACTCATGAAATTTTATCACTTTCATCAATCCTTGTTCTTATTCCAAACTCGTACCCGGCTAAAATGGTGGAATATTTTGGCCTAGACTTGCTGGAAGCAATACATCGAGAATGTATGCCGAGGTTATCTCTACAGTTAGACATAGAAATTGAAAATGTATATAGACGCGTGGTGAAAACATGTTTGAACGATTCACGTGAGAAGGGTATCAAACTACTATCTACAAATATTGCTCAAAAAGATGAACTTATAGACAATTTTGGATTTTTGATCTTAGATCTGATACGCACTCTGCCATATGAGAAGATCAGAAACGAACCAAGTGAATTAACATTAATAACAAACTATTTAGACAGAATCATGAAAAGTGCCTTTCATATGCCTGACAAACATATAGTTCGTTGGCCGAATACAGCTCTTACGGAAAGCAAAGTAAGGAAATTCGATGGATCAAGGACGAAACAGCCGGACTTTGTTATTTCAGTTAATTATCAATCTCGAGCGACAAACGTGGTCTTTGTTGGTGAAGTGACTGGTCCAGCTGACCAACATAACGTATATAAGAATTGCCTCGATCTAGTGAGGATCGGAGTATTTATGAAAGATTGTGTCGATGCAGCGATTTCTCGGGAAGCGGGTATCAAGATATTGGGCTTCCAGTGTATTGCATATAAAATAGATTTCTACGTACTGGATCTTCGAGCTCAAGGATTATATACGATGTCCCATATTGCGCAGATTTCGGTGCCAACGACTATAAAGGACATATATACATTTATTGATGAGCTTTATATTTTATTGAATATACGATCTCTCCTATTTGAGTCTTATGATACTCTTGTTGCTAAACTCAAAAATCCCCAAATTAGTTCCCCAGAGCTCAAATCGTCCTTCAAAAGACCAACACTGAACACGCCTGAATTCAACAAACTCATTAGCAAAACTCGTAGTGTCAGAAGAGAGTGCCCATTCTGGTTTGGACGATACTAGGCTGGAATGTAAGCAGCATTGATTGAGCTGCTGAATGATGGCTAAATACATACCAAAATATATACCAAACAAAGAAAGTATCATTCATTCACGAGACATTGTCAAGATTTTGGTCTGTTGTCAGATTATTTTCTCTTTGTGATATTGACGGTAGCTAAGAATATGATTTGATGGTTTATACAATAAAGATAAGTATTTCGTCTTTCGCTTTGTTGGAGATTCAAATCTAAGCATCGAGCAATCCATGACATGTTGTTTTGACAAATTGAACCGATTCATACCAGTCACCTATCACAATGTGAGAAGAATAGGCGGCAAATGTAATAAGAATATTTCACTCACTTTTGTTCGTAGGATGCCAAAATGAACATAAATATCACAGATTTGTCTTTCCATATTTTTATGAGTTGATTCTTTATCTTCGCTTTCCACCTTTACGCGCACGAATTAGCCAAAAGCAATTAGGGCGCAAAATTTTCCGTGCGACGAATGTATCCTAATCAATGGTTTTATTTCTGTGCGGAACAGGCTCCACTCCCTACAGTCAAAGTTGGAAAAAACGGGATATTAATATTGACAAGTCGTATCCAATTCGCGACACCTTGTTTCAACGATCGATTTAGGGGTGGGTTGGTAATTTTAAAGCCGATCGACGTTCGATTATTTAGCAGTAGTAGATCGAATACTTTCTGTTGAGGTGGACAGCAGTGAGCATGGTGGATGAGCATTTCATAACAAGAGGTAGAGCTTATTGTAGCATTGATGCGACTGCGCATTACAGTTACGATTGGGTACAAAACGTTCACGTACCCCATTCCGATCAACAGATAAGTAAGATTTATTATTTTAGTCCGTTTTATTATGAAGCAGTACGCGAACAACTTAATTACGTTCTCGATGAGGACGAAATTATCAGCAAAGACCCTAATGGTACCCTGAGCCTGGTATTCGATGGAATTAAACGATTGAATAAAGTGAGAAATATTTAAAAATCACTTGCGATAATGCGAGAAGACAGAATAAAGATAATGCTACCATTTGATTTTACTTGTATTTGGTAATTTATGGCTACTATGAAAGTGTCGAATTAAATTTTATCAAGTGTGATGGTAGTTTCGGACTGATCAAGAAACTTTACCGAAAAACGACAGTAGATTGTGTAGACCATATTGTTGAGGTCGTGAAAAAATCGAGTATAGCAGAATTAAATAAGCTCAGTACTATGAAAACGGCAAAGGCTTTCAATACTTAGATTTTAACTCTGTGTTGGGAATTTTCTTTAAGAAATTGAATGGCTTGCAAATTTTCTTTTGAAGTAGCTAATCATGGAATTGTCAAAACTTAAACAATAGAAAAAGAATTATTCTCTAAGATAGATAATTACTAGCTATGTTATTAGAGAATAGAGATCTGAATAATGAAATTTATCTTTGCTTGCTTGGACCAACAACGTAATGTATGTGCAGAGATTTCTTGTCGCGTTATGGGCAGATGAAACCATTTCTTTTGATGTGGCGGAGATGAAAATTAACCTCTTTTTTTATTTAATAGGAGTGGCTCTCGATACAAAACAGTTCTTGTGTGACAGGGATAGACCTTTCTTATTATTATATATTATAACGATAGCGAAACTTTATTATGTTATTTTTGTTCCATATATCAGTCTAGAGTCATTTGCCATTTACGTTTTATACTACGTGTTTTTCAAAACGGAGAATATTATTGATGTTACTGATAACTTCATTATGAGAAATACTTTCGTTATACTCCCTCCTCTTCATTATTATACCATTGAGTACTGCTTCAATTGTTTCCCCAGCCATTTAATCGCTTTGGTGAAAAAATGAACCCCATCATGCATACCATACCCATCACATGTTCCCCAATCATACTCTCCCGCCTGTCTTTTGTCATGGGGAATCTGGTGTCGCGTTTATAATCCTTATTAAATTCCATATTTAAGCACTCTGTGCTCCCATTAAATTTGTGTCAAGGAGTGAGTTTGCAGCATCGTTATACTTTTCAATGGGTCCAAATGCTGAACATCGTGAAAATGAACAGCTTGTCTATTCCCAAGAACGCTCAAAGTCATCTACCGAACTTGCTCAGAATTTGCAAGTAGACTTATCAGAGATCGGTCCTAATAACTTGACTGCGAAAGAACAGGAAGCTGAAGGTAATGTTCGCACGTACGATACAGTACAGTAACTTTCGGTTTACCCCACTTCTTTGAGTTATTAACACTTGCCACGTTATTCAATAGATGTGCGAATGTTTCAGGGTGTAAGTGAACCAAAACTCCAATCTACCCGGTCTTGCAATGTCCAAAGCTAGCTTTTTATTTGCTAATTATCAGACTTGTTTCGTGCTTTTAGGTAAAGGCCTTTTTCTGCAACCAATACTCAGAAGCTCAAGATATTTTTGCCGAGAAAGCAGACTTTGAGCCGTTATATGCCCTCGGCCGGGGGTGTATATCGTTTTTAAAAGGTACAGATTATGATGGTTTGTCCATATATTCATGTTCGCACCTGATTTCATTATCGCTGTTCCAATCTCTTGCAGCCGTCACAACGTTTAACGAGGATGATATAACACTTGCTATAAAACACCTTTCTTTCGCCGAAGCTCTGGCTAGTGCACAACTTCATGCATCGAAACCCAGTTTTACTTCGAATGTTACTAAATTCTTCTCTGGTCGAAAACATTTCATGACTAATGGACAATTACGTAGCACGGTTATCAAGGCAGAATCCGTTCTGCTAATTGCTTTGATTCAGTTGTTTCAGGAGAGTTTGGTCAGTTATGGCAAAGCGGCGTTGAATCTGAGGCGAGGTAATTGTAAATTTACTCTATTATCCAAAACGCTTGTTCCTGAGAATATTTAAGCAAAAGGTCGAAAAAAAAAATTACCAGGATACAAGAGTTACGAACAGGTCTGGGATGAAATGAACAAAAGCGATTTCCCTGGTCCTGTTGATCGCCATACCAAAGGTGGCGTCGAATTCGGGTTAGTTTGCTAAACTTTTCGCTCATCGGCAAGCTCTGTCGTAAGTATAGATACCATTTTGGCAATATTCTGATTCTATATTTTAATTTGGTGCATAGTTTCGGAACATGTAACCTTGTGCTTTCGTTTCTTCCCGGAAAAGTTATCAAAATGATCGCAGCTGCAATCGGATATAGAGGAAATAAAGAGTTGGGAGTTCAACTGGTCAATGATTGCCTGCGTGGACGAGGCATAAGATCGCCACTTGCATCTATTCTGTAAGGACGTTAAAGAAGTATTTTTTTCAATGAGTCCCTATTACGGAAAATGCCTCAACAATTTTTAATTATAAACATGTCTATTTTGCTAGATTTGCAGCCTCGTATACAATATTGACATCTTTTGTACCAGTAATACTCGGTGCAGACTATGTAAGTAAATAAATTGTCGCAATTTTCATCGATTAGCATGTTATAACCATATGCTGATTTTTGGTAGATTCCGAAGGCTGACGCTTACATCGAAGATGCGCTTCAACAATTTCCCGGATCAGACTTTTTCACATTTTTTGCGGGTCGTAATCTGCGCCTGAAACGTGAATTGCAAAAATCAACAGTCGCCTTCAAGTCTGTCAATCAGAGTCTAGCTACGGGATTTGGTGCTGAATTGAGGCGCCTGTGTGATTACGAGTTGGGAATGAATTATGCTCTGATGCTGGAATGGGAGGCTGCAGCTAGTTGTTTCGCTAATCTTGCAAAAGAAGGTTATTGGAGTCCGGCATTCTTTACTTATTTTCAAGCCAGCTGCTTAGTGATGGTGGGCAAGATGGAAGAAGCCGTTAAAATCTATTCGCAAGTTGCCGGCCTTGTTGTTCGTAAGTTTGGAGGGCGGACAATATTAATAGAGCAATACGTAACGCGTAAAGTTAAACAATATACAGAAGAAGGTTTCAAAAATATTGTGCTTCCTGGTCTTGAAATAATGCTTATTTGGAACAGCTTTGGATGTATGACAGAAGAGATACTGCTCAAATGTATGGCAATGACGGATGCTAAATTGAGCGATCTAGAAAAAACTGATGAAGACATATCAACTGGCAAGTGTGATGTTGGAGCAATGCTGAGGCTCGTCAAAGCATCCATATTAAATCAGTTAAAACGGTTTTCAGAAGCGCAGTAAGTAGGATATGTAAATTGATTTTAAAATCGAAGTGATAAGCTAAATATATAATATTTTAGCGAATGTCTTACGTGGATCTTTGATCGAGATGACCGAATAAAAGAAGACAAGTTTGTTCTTCCATTTGCATATTGGGAAGCAGGTGTAACTGCTTATCTCAAGGGTAATTTAGAAAAGGCTCATGGACTCTGGGAAGAAGCTGGCAGAATTAGTGGATATGAATTTGAACTTAGGTGAGTCATTGTATTATATTTGTCAAAGGCCATTCTTACATTCTTTTGTCGCGTCCAACAACTGACAAACTGTCTTCTTCATTCAATTCGACAGACTCGCTTTCAGGTTACATTTAGGAATAATGAAATTGAATGATCTAACGGGTAAGAGTAAAGGGTCCTCCTTACTCTAATGATGACATAGATAGACGCTACGAAGGATAATACTACAGACTTAGTGTAGCAACCATATAATACTTTTCAACGACTTAATTACTTAGTATTAACCATTACCATATTAATTATGTCAATTTTAAGCTTAACAAAGCACATGTTCATGCGAATGCAAATTGTAATGGTTATCGGGTGTTGCTTTCCAATAATCTTTATTTTGGCACACACACTTTCGCCCCTTTATAATTAGAGAACAATTAAATAATGTTAACGTTACAATACAAGTGTATGTGCTTACCCAGTCGATTAAACATTTATTATTATTATTATTATTATTATTATTATTATAATTACGAGTCTCGATATGTATAACGACAATCTTATTCATGCTGACAGAGATCGTAGAACAAAAAATCTAAATTGCTTGAAAGTATCCATAAATATAACTCGATAAAAATTGTAGCCTCTATGTCGGATGTTTTTTTTTTATCGAGAAAATTAATCTTCTGGTACTAATTAAAACTATTTACAAGAACACACATTCTAGCACTTTAGAGCTGCTCGAATTAAATGTCAAAGACGCGTTGAAAATTTTGTAAAATTCATTGTCTCTTTATTACAAGTACAATTTGTCGCATGAACATGATTATCTTTAAGTGATTTAGAACAAAGTCATCAGTATAAATCAAATGAAAAACCTGCATATTGGCTTTGGTGAAGTTGTTGGCAGTGGCTTTAGATAATAATTTACGTATCACTGACTTGATGATGTCGCCGTCGTCGTCGTCGTCTTTATTAACAATATGAAGAATATTGTCAAAACGAATTTCAAGTCATTTATCACTTTTCCTATGCTTGCCAGGTACACCAGGATGTACTATTAATATTGAGGGGTGCTGCAATGAAGTCAGTTCTATCACCCAAGACGTGATATATATATATAATATAACGATATTATAATCTTTCTACTAATATTAATATTAATATGGACTACGTGCGGAGGTTAACACACAACATATAAAATTTTTACGACATAATAAACATTGTAATCGTCCCATTCATCTTTAACGTCTATACAACATCTCAGCCTTCGATGCCAACTCTGAAAGCTCTTCTTTTGGTATGCTATTAGCTATTAATTTCATAGTACATGTATAAGAAGTGCTTAGACGCTTTCCACCAAGTCCTGGTAGAAACGTCAATCAAATTTCTCAATCGCTTGTATTTTTTTTACCAGCTGAAACGAGTTTAAATCGCCCGCGTGTTTGGGACTTTTGCGTTTTGGTTAGCTTTGTAATTTTTTCATGCTACAATTTTTTTCTGCACTGTAATTTTTTGTACGTAATTTTTTTACGTCTATCATGATTATTTCAGGTCTTTAAGGAATTAAGAGTTTGAATAAAGGTGAAAAACTACGCGTGAGGGCAGAAAATAAGATTAACGCGGATATTTAATTTTATTATATTCGGTAATTTGTGGTTACTTACTATTACTATTACGTATCATGGAAGTATCGAATTAAATTTCATGGCATTAGTATCAGGACATATTAAATTCAAGTGAGATAGTGAATTTCAGATTGGTCAAGGAAAGACAACTGCAAATTGGGTGCATCATATCGTTGAGGTTGTGAATGAATCAATTAAACAAAGTTCAGTACTATGACAACGGGAAAAGGTTTCTGAATTCCGTATTAAGGTTTTTTTTTAAAAAATTGAGTAGTTTGCAAACATTTGAAGCAGTCCGAACCGGAGTTGCTCAGCTGGTTGCTAATGATATTTTTTGACTGGAAAAGCAACGAGTATTTCCGAAGTTACCGAAGAAGTTAATCTTAATGATAATAACTGACCCAGCCACCTTTGGATACAATAGGGAAAAGTATTTTTGTCACAATATTCGCTCATTGTTAGAGATAAATTACTTGTCCCAAGCCATATTGAATACTTTTTTCTTGATCTTAATTATTATAATAACCAAAACAATTAGAAACTATAACAGTCAATCCACGAACAGCTATTCAGCCGTCTTGTTAAAATTATCAGTTACATTAGCTAATATTTTCAGCCTGGCTTTCTATTACAGTCTGCCCCATATTAATATATGAGCAGTGGATAAAATATGCTTATTGGATTCTCTTCTTTTTGATTCATATCAAAAGTTTTAACTATTGCAAGGATCAAAGCGCCTTAACTTTTCTCTTCACGGCAGGATCGCGTGAATAACCAATAATTTTGATAATAAAATCGTCAGCTATAGAGCCGAGTTCTTACAACATACTCGTCATCATTCAATCCGGACAAAACAATAAAATAGTCGTGCAAACAAACAGATCCTCGTTACGCTGTTGCAACTTTTACATAAAAGTTATTTTCTACAAGTTTACCGGTGATTAATTCTTGCTTACTAGTAGTTAAATGCTAATCTTTGAAGTTGAACGTGCAATAGTAATAACAATAACCTTCAATTTATCCACTGATGCTGCTGGAAACGTTATAATCAATGATTTTTACAAGAGACGAATTTGTCATATCAAACTGACTGCATCGAGACCATCAGGATGTTGATATGTAATTTAGAGCTTTATTTTTTTTTAAATAATAAACCGTTATAAAATGAACCGGTTGAAACAATTAATATTCATCAGTTTCAGATTTCATCTGTTATGACACCATATGGGTTTCACGTGTTCTCCAGCAAGCAATGATATGCTATGCTTGGTCACTTTTGTCGACAAAGGAAACTCTGGCCTATGTCAGAATCAGCCGTTCAATACGCCGTCGCAGTAACCCAGTCCCACTCTGAGCCTTTCAAGCCACAAACACCGCTGAGATTTTCCTCATCGCCTCGACTGTCTCTTCTACCCGTTATGGAGAATTATGACTTTCAGGAAAGCCATAAATCTGAAGATTCAGAAGCAATGAACATTGCGCTTCTAGGAACTTTCGCCTTTTTTGTACTGGTTGCTAGTTTTATTATTTGGGGATGCCTTCGTCGTCGCCTGGCTGCCTTGGACAAGAATCGTATTCCAGACTTTAGTGATCCCGAATTAGCAGAGGCGGAGGCTAGTCTTGTTGAGACTTTGGACGAAGCAGCTCGTCAAAATTACGAGCGTGCTCGAGGTATGAAGAAAAAGTTACCTGTCGATTACTTTGTCTTTTTCTTTTTTTTTTTTTCACTAAAAAAAAAACTTAGCATCTGTATATATGGCTTTGCAAATTTTAACCTTTTTCTTTTCCATGTCGGTCTGTTTCGTTCTAAAAAAGTATTCCAGGAAGCTTACCCACCTGATAGCGTACCAACGGATATAACTTTCACTCAACTCCTCTCTATTCAAGAGAAAGGTGTCTCGGCATGGGAATTTGAACCTGATCTTCATAATACAAGTTCTTTTGTCGAATGCCGAACGGAAATATCGTTTTATGATGGTGAATGTTGCGTTCAAACAAACTTGCCCTTGCCTAAACAGCAAGAAATATATTATTGGGAGGCCAAGATGTATGAAAAATCACCGTCTACAACAGTAGCAGTCGGCCTTGCTACAAAACCTTATCCAACCTTCCGACTTCCAGGTAAGAATTTGCCGACTAGTGGTCGCAGAAAATGATCCGAAACGATGAATATGATTTAGTTCTCCCGAGAGAAATGAGAATTGGTATTGGTAATCGGAATTGTTAGGTCTTATGGGCGTTCGACATGTTTTGTTTCAAGCGGGTACGAGCTTTGATATTGACTCGCTATCCTATTTATGTCCTCTCTCTCTTCTACCATTTCCCCAATCAGGCTGGAATAGACAATCTATTGCATACTTCTCGGATAGCGGTTTCAAGTTCTTCAACTCGCCATTCAATGGAAAAGCTTACGGTCCACAGTTTCATCAGGGAGACGTAGTTGGTGTCGGGTATCGCCCGAGGACGGGCACCATTTTTTTCACACGTAATGGTAAAAAACTGGATGACGCATTTACGGGAATGAAGATGAATCTGTTTCCGACTGTCGGTGCAAACGGCCCCTGCTGTGTGCATGTCAATTTTGGACAATTGGGCTTTGTGTTTATTGAAGCGAATGTAAAAAAGTGGGGTCTTGCGCCAACGTTGGGAACACTTGCTCCACCGCCTGCTTATGGATCTGAAAGAGACTCGATTCTAGTGGCATCAAGTTCAAGAAGTTGTCCATCCATAAATATTTCTCGTATTGTAAATACGAATGTCGACATTGGACGTTCCAACGATCTGCTTTCAGAGGCTGCGTTGGATATTTCCTTGGCAGACATTCACCTTCCTCCTCCATCTTACTCTTCCGTAGATCAATTCCCTGCACGGTCCACCGCTCCAGATACACCACAGCCTTATCCACAGACAGAAGATCAAAACGACTCACGAAGGAACAGTGTTTCGTCAGACACATATTTATTAGCAGAAGATCCGTAGTAAATGCGTTATATGGTAACGGTCTTGTGATCATTGAATAGGCAATACGAGGAAAATTATCAAGAAACATTATTACAAGTATTCGATGATTCAATAATTCTGTCAATTATGTTATTTGCCCATGGAAAACTATTCATTAGAATTTTCTTACACAAATGTCAGACTCGAACGTGTTGACTAGCTTTGAACAATATGATTTCTTTTTGATATATCATTTGTTGTAGCGTTAATATTAAGTGTCATTCATCTCCTCCATGGTGTATGTGTATATAGTTATTATATTATTATTATTTTACCGCTATGGCGAATATCGATTTATAAAATACAACATTATTTATGACCCCTTAATTTACTCAAACGTACTTGTCTCATTATTAATCGTCTCACGAATTGCAAAGTCATGGTATCTACCGAATGTTTATGTATTGACAATTTTGATAAGGTTTTTGTACTCTGCTTTGTTATGTCTTTGTGAACGCGGCACAATGAATCGCACTGAACCGAAAGTTAGCAAACGCGTACAAGCGAAAAGAAAAAGGATTATGCACTTTCAAGTTTATTCCCCAATTTACAGTAATAATACATTTACAATTGTTCTAAATTGCATCGCTTTTGACTGTCCAACAAAGCTGGTCATATATAAGCGAGCCCGCCTCTAAAAATAATTACAATAAATTATATGATTTCGATTCTCTACTTATTAAATATCCTTGTTAAGATTCTTGATTTTATCCCGATGACTGCCTTTCCTACTCGTGCTATCGCCACGATTTCTTCCTTTCCCATTAGCGCCGAGTCTGCCTGTCTTTATCCAATTCTCATAATCTTTATACCTATTCTTTGTTGCGCTATTGCTGTGATACTGATTACCAACTGTTTGCATGACCGCCACCTTTGTTGGCAGTTCTTTGTGTGTATTGTAAACTTGGTGATCGTACGAATGAACATGCAAATCTCTAGTTGGATCGACACCATCCGCAATATGTGCATAGTTGAAATAATTATGGTAATCCGAATGGTTGGTAAGAGAGGGATCATCATTTCCAGTTGGTGTTGATGCTAATGCAACATTCCGAAATTGCTTAATGTAGCTGAAATGGCAACATTTTGCTCGTTAGTATTTACAAAAAACCAAAACACGGGAGAAAGATTAGATTAGCCGGGTTGGATATTGCTTTACCGCTTATACTCTTTTTCCTCAGTCGCTGATACGTTCGGATTAAGGCTTTTGGTTACCATCGAATCGTATACTGGAACATCTTTTTCCTTCTTCGTTCTCTCTTTCTCCTTGTCTTGCTCGTACGATGCTTGCTCTTGTGTTGGCGTAGTAGGCACAGCGAACCAATTCCTTACCCCACGGATGATCAGCCTGTTTTGCTGTGCTTGTCTTACCGTGAATGGACTGTAATCGTAATTTTCGTTTGGTACTCTATTCAAAAGGATGAATTAACATACAAATAGATCGTCTATGAAAGAGCATACGGAAATTGATTACATACTTGATTGGAGCCGTGCTATTAATATTGTACGCGAAAAGTTTAGAAAACGACGTGAGTTCGCTCGGTCTGTAGTGTTCGATCCAATATCCAGTATATGGATCATTTTCATCTTCGTATTGAGGGGCTCTACGCGGAATCATTTCCTGTTGCGACAAGCTGTCTTCTTTGCCTTCATTGAGTACGAGAGCGTCTTTTGTCCACCAATTAATATAACTAAAATAACATCGCTTGAGCATGTTGGTCGAATTAGGAAAAAGAGTGGCTGTACATATTAGAATTTTGCATTACCTTCTTCTTGGTCTCCTAAACCTGGGATCTTCAAAGTGCAACGTAAAGTCACTTTCAAGTTCCCACAGAGACGGCTTGCCTTTCTGCGGAACGAAATTACCCAAGAAGACATTTATAGCGTCTTGTTTCTCAGCATCTTAATGTAATAAAGATAAATTATTAGTTGCAGAAAAAACTACATATATGTTGATAAATTGAGTATTTGTGTCTTTTAACCAAGAGAATTATTCCACAAACAAAAAAAAGGATAGCTTCCTAACATAAACTGTACTTACCAGTAAAAGCGTTATTATAATATCTTTTTATACTTTCAATAACGTCCCTCGATTGGTTTGACCAAGCATTGATTTTCCGGTATGCATCCATAGTACTCACTAAGTTTGATCCGCCATACTGCAAAGCTATAGTGTCTCCCTGTACATGATACATCTCTGTCAACATATTGACTACATCAGAGTCATATGGAATAGACGGTGTGTCAATTATGCCGAGTGCATAAAGCTTAAATGAGACGAAAATATAAAGTTTGGAACAAGTTAATATTAAAATATCATGTATGAATACACATTTGGGTAGGGTATATGATTATATTACCTGATGCGCCAAGGCACATTTGCCAATGATAAGCTGGGCTGCATTCGTGCGATCAAGACAGTCAATACAATTTGTGCGAATTACACCATTCTGCCGGAAAGAACGACGACGGCTTTGCGGCTTGCCCTCTCTATGATATGCATATATACAACAGTCTTATTATATTATATTACTGAGCTTGATTGTTAATTCATTGGTATGACACTTTACTTACTTCTCTTCTCTTCTCAACACATTTATAGACGGCTCTGGACCACTGTGAAAGAATCCAGTTTCAGCAATAAATTCTTCGCTAAACTTTTCCATGGTACCGATTACATCTACATCGCTATTGAAATAAATGATATAGTCAGGATTTCTCAAATCAATACGTTAATTTATAAATAGTCTGCAAAATCTGACCAACCTCTTTTTGGCTTTAGACATGTCCCACGCAACATATTTGAGACAGTTAGGAGGCAGAAATTGGTTCAGATATTCGATTGTCGCAGCGAATTCATCACCTAGGATTGATTCGCGCGGGTTCTTTTCCTTCATCTGTCAATAGGAATGTAGACAAAGATTTTAGTTTTATTGAAAACCTACCGCCAACTTGACGCTGAGCATTTACCTTGATTAGATTCAACACTATTATAGGTGCACCGTATCTTTTAAACATATTGTCAAAATGTAATGCGGCAGCCGAGAAGAATGGATCTCGGAAATTGACTAGTTTGAAAATAATGTTTCTCATTGGTCAATATTATCTCGCATGTTTGTTTAGCATATAGAAAATTCACACGTACTTGATATTGGCGGCTTTGGAACCATATTCGCTAAATCTTGCGACCAAAAAAGCGGTATTGATCCACGATGTTGGACATAGGAAGAATAATTTGGATTATCAAACAGCTTGTTTCCAGAAAAATGGAATGAAGTTGTCGACATCTCTGCCACGATTTGCTCACTTTCGACGTCGTTTGCAACGTAACCCTTATCGGGCAAATGAAAACCACGGGAATGAGTTGGGGGGGGGGGGCTATACTAATTGCATAAGCACAGCGTTTTCATAGCTCACCTGATCATTCGTTCCTCTCTTGCGAAATCGGGCACCAGCAAAGTAACGAGACCGTCTCGCGATGAGGGTTAAAAAAATGTTACGCCCATAAACCGAGATCTCTAGAGTCACGTAAATGTGTCAGAGTGTATGCATCGTCTCAACAACTTATTCTCATCTTTGCTCTACTTACTCGATTGCGTTACAAAGCCATAGATTACGGGTAATATCCAATCAGATTGGTTTTTTAAGCTTCTGAATCCAGTCTCGAGCAGATAATGATTCCATACGAACATTTCGTTGTATGAAAAGTTACGACGATTCGGAGGACGAGTCATGTTATGCTGCAGCGTATGAGTAATGTCGTACGTATAGCTAAAATAAAAGTTCTTGGCGAGATCTACGTTCTGAAATGTAGAAATGTACCTGAAAAATGATTGTGATTCAGTTGTTTGTTAGGAATGGACCAACCTACTGTTATTATGAAATAGAATAAAGCACAACACGACAAGGCACATATATTTACCTTTGCTCTTCGCTATTCTTTTCGGGTTTACTCTGAGAATTTATGCTCAACAGCTTTGTTTCGTCAATATTATATATATAATGACCACCGATCAAGGCTGCCGGACTTCTTTTCATTATTAAAGACATATAAAAACCTTCCGTAAACCTGATAAATCCTAACCCCCCATTTGATCAATAGGTTAACAAACGTTCTTGATAAACGAATGACCGCCTGAACGATTGCAGACGACATACCTACTATTCCATACGCCTCCAATACCTTATTCAGACCTCCGGTGACTCTATTTCCTTCTCCGAGACCGGATAAAATGTCATTAATCTCTTGTTTAGAGTATATCGCATCATCTTCTATAACGTTGAGTTCGGAAACCGAGGTGCGATCAATCTTTAATATTCGAAAACGCGTGTCTGTTTGATTGCATCCCACCATGTAATAGTACTAACCAAATTATATGAAAATATCGTGTTAGATGTTGAACAGTAGTCTAGCGTGGTATTGTGTAAATAGCAGGTTTTCGATAGTTGGGTATGCCTACCGCTTTCGTTTCGTAAAGAATGAATTTGCTAAGAACAAGTCGCTCTGACTTGTTGGCTTCTTCAAAGTCAAAATTCCCCATGGCAGGCGGAGCAGACAAGCGAGGCGACGGAAATTTCATGGGCGTCTGTAACCCAAGAAGCTCAGGGCGTGACTGAGTTGTTGCGACCGAGTAGCGAGGATTATTAGGTTCTGGCATAATTTACAATTACTACGCAGTCGTGGAGAAGCCGGAGAGTATATGTTTGAGGAACATGTGATCATACCCTAAATGGAATTGGGTATGGTATGCATGATGGGTTCATTGTTTTTTCTCCAAATCGATTAAATGGCTGCCTCTAGAAAAAAGCAAACACATCAAAATATTGGTAAATAAAGACCTCGAAAACTCAAAATATCTGTAATGTAAGTAAATGATGTAATTTCATAGATACGAACTGTGCAAGTCTACCGCCTATTATTGGTGACTAAAGCTACGTTTTTTAAGGTGTTGCTTCTTGTAACAATATTAGCATTGTTCAAACCATATAATAATAGTAATTATAATATTGAGGGGTTTTGATTACTGCTGGTCGAGACTGAATTAAAGAAAAACATGTCAGTTATAGGTATAAAAGCAGACGATATTTTTAAAAGGATTACTTGTAGATTGCAGCTCGGAATTTAGCTGCAACCTTAACTTTTCGTCGTTCCTCAAATATCAAAGTAATTTTTATGGTCTAGTAGTAGATATGGATTTCGATTTAATTTTAGTCATCGCATAACCCATGTAGCAGTAGTTACTTCGGATGTTTCCGTCAAAGATTACCAAGTCCATTTGTGACCTTTTTTCTTTATTTAGAGTGGACTATTAACGCTTAACAGTAATGGAAAAGAGACACGCGCTCTGTTGGGGGAAAAGCCCATTAATATTATTCCAATGTTCTGTTCGGATATTATGTCCAAATTTCTAATTACCATTTATTAAAAACGTGTTGGGGAGGACAAACTGATGGGTAAATCTCATTGGTTACGATTAGAATTATGGGTTATATTGCGACCATTGTTCATATCTACGTATCACTTGAAATTATAAAACGCAAGGGGCAGTTTCTTACCTTGGTATTTCATAGGAAGCTCTAACATCGTTGTAAATTAAAGTTCTGGAACGAGAAAAACCAGTTTAATGGTTAGTATGTATGGGGATGTCTTTCGTGCATAAATTTGAAATCGGAGCGACTGTCATGACATTGTTGAATAGTTACTACTTTTTCATCCTACGATTTACACTGTTCATTTTTCATTGATAAAACGAAACTGCCTTTTTGCCTACAACAAGCTTTTATTTTAACCCCTTGTCGAGAAATTGATTTCAGCCTTGAGTATCGTTTCATTAGCAAATTGGGGTTCGCAAAACTCGTAATTATACAATTCTTTGTTGAATAAAGACCATGTCGTGATAGAAAGAAAAAAAAAACCTTGCAACTTTATCAACGGTTTGTTAAACTTTTACTCAACACAAGCGTCAACAATTAGAACGTGAATATCAGCAAAGAAAGTTCGAAACTATGTCAACCAAGCCTCATAGTTAATACCGAAATATTTAATGCAGATTTGTCATTCGATTTTACATTAATAGTAGTGTCGATAATCGTGTTTATTAGACACGGGACAACCCAAATTTCTTACTTCTTTTTTGTCTTGACAAAAGTGGATTTATTAACTGCTTATCTTTTCTTTTTTTTAATTACTGACACAAACCAGAAATTTCTATTTATAAATAATCTAGAATTAACACACTTTGCGTGAATCTCGTTACCTGAGTCACCGCAATTGCCTTTAATAGCATGGTCATGTGGGATATATGGGTAAAAGTACATCCCAACGCATGGTGTAACAGCCAAGAATTATATTAGTAAGTGTGGCTGATGAACCAATTAGACCGCAAAGCGGTTGCTGTGCAGTAAGGGCGTAGTTGAGAGGAGGCCGTTTTCATTATACCACAGACGACTATATTGACCCTTCAACCACTGAAACAAATTTGTTCAAAGAAAACATTCCGAATTTCAAAACTGTTCACAAAGCTCCTGGGTGGACCGTGAAATCTCTTATACCATTTAGATTAAGATTATATGCAAATTCATAGTATCGATACGTATACGGCTAATTTCCTAGATGAGGAAACAATTAATACTTTGCGTGCGACAAATCGATAAATCTCTCAAAAATTGACTTAATTTCATCTTTTTATTTCCTATAACGTCATGTTCATACTCTTTATTTTACTGTTCGTAAATATTCTAATTGCGCTTATAATTTACCTTAAATTATCTATTTCTGTATTTATTAATCTATTAGGTTGCTCGGTTTATTTTACTTTATCTTTACTATACATATGCCCACGATTTCTTGTTGGGCCACATAATCATAAACGGTACAATCGGAGGAAATGATTATGTGAACAAATCTTGTTTAATTTTTAATATGACGAGGGATGCTTAAAACCGGCACAGCCAGGTTTACATTCAAGATATTTACTGATAATCTTAATTATATATATGTAAATAATATAGACATTATAGACAGTAACAGACAGTATAATCGATGCAAGTGACGTATATATATGTACATACACAATAATATAGTAGCGTTTTCTCTCTCTCTCTCTCTCTCTTTCTCCACCATATCGTTTTTTCTCTCTCTTTTTTTCTCTCTCTTTTTTTCTCTCTTTCTTTCTTTTTTTGGATAAAAACTCAAAAATACACTCCACCAACTTCTCGCTCATAGCCATCCTGGCTTGTAACTTGTATAGGTAACATTTCATCTAAAAACAATAACAATTGCATTGTATCTCCTACATCTTCGCACCCCAAGTTGACATTTTCGCAGTCAAGCAGATTAGTATAGGTCGTATTATCGATTATATCCGGAACATACAAATCCGGAGTTTCGTCAGGAGACATAAAGCTTGTAACCGGCGAGATCCCAATATTGTCGATAGAATCGGGTGCTGTCGAAAGACCAGGATATGCCGGGATACATGAAAGACCAAAGATGTCGAATTGAGAGTTTGGAGGATAGTTAAAGCTCGACTCGGAAAGTGTGTCGGGAGAAATATTGATTGAAGAAAAATCGGTAGAGGGCAATGGAGTAGCAATAGGAGTTGTAGAGGGAGATGGTGGTAGAGAAAGGTTTACATGCACCATATGATTGTAGGGGTTGGCAATATTGTTACCACAGCTGTTGTTGTTGTTGTTGTTGTTGTTGTTGTTGTTGGAGTTGTTGTTGGAATTGGTATCGATGCTATTATTTTGACCACTTTTTCCAAGTTTTTCTTCACCTTTGAGAAAGGCTCTCCATCTTTTTGGTGCTTTGGCAGGAGTGGCTTTCGGATACAGTTTGTAGTATAAATCCTTTGCTTCTTTGGCAATTCTCTTGTATTCGTTCTTTACGTTCGCTGGTTCGAGATCCCAACTCTGCGATGCCATTGTAGATACGACAGTCATTGGAATTTTATATCCGATCGAGTGAGCGGTTTCCACAAATTTACGCCGGTATATGATAAATGCGTTTGGTGGTTTAGTTGGGGTAGTTTGGCCGCGTGATTTCTTCATTATTATATCGTGAGGATCGATGAGTGGAGGGAACGGGAGTTTAATAATTGGAGTTGACTCTGTATGTTTAATAACTTGATTTGGATGTATTGGGTCACTGCTGTCTATGAAAATAAAAGGTCGAGGAGAAGTAGAAGTTGCCTGGGCAGTTGAGGAAAAGGTATTTGTTGACATGTTGTTCGTCTAAGCTGAAAATGTACTGGACGTATTTATTATGCACGGGTGTAATTAATTGCTGGTATTTTTCTGTAATTGCTATCAGACAATTGTTCACTGATTTTAGTACTCGACTTGTGTTGTGTAGGTTCGAGAAATTCGCTGTGTTTATATCTCAGAAATTCTGTTACACCAAATATGCAGTATAAATAATTTAGAGTACGCTTCTGGAGCTGAATAAAGAATGTTAAAAAAACTTGAATTAAAAATTGTAAATAAACATGTTATTTCGTCAGAAACCCGGTTTTTCTTAACATTGGCTCGATTATTACTTTCAAACATAATAGCAAAACATGTAAACTTGCCAAACCGTCATGAGACCCAAGACAGCATAATTCCGTAATGATTACACTCGAGCGAGTGCCAGAATTACCGGCATAACTTGAGATATGCATACTAGAGTACCTTCTGATCTCGTTTTTTATTGTCAGTAAACACTCGGTGAGTGTTCAATATATCACTCTTACTATAAAACGTTTAGTTAGCACTCGCCACTGACCTCGATGGCTTGCTTACAAATTAGTGATGCACAAAAAGCAGTCTCGGTCGTATGTAGTAAATTCGCCACATGTGTACAACATAACAGATGTGCATTTTAAACAACGTGACACAGACCATCTCCGCGCACAAAATAAACGATGAAAATCGTTTACCCGCCGTGGACAAGGCTGGTCTGTATGAATTAGTATCGGGGTATATTGGGAAATCAAAATTGTTTATGCAACAACATTTTAAAATCGTTTGGAATTACATGACCGAACAAAGCGCAATAAAGTTTTGAATATATTCTATCGTATATCAAATTAGTCATTGAATAAGTAAAAAAACAACCGTAATTGTTATATTATCATGCTTATACAAGTTAACTTTATGCCTGCATTTAATTAATACAGTAACACGTTATCCCTGATTTATTCGTAAAATTCTCCCGTTGTAATATTGTCTTCCTAATTTTTACAATTCAATTGTTCTCATATTATTGCCCACCTCCTTGTACTGTGTATTCCTTGATTTCCCAAAACGCACATTCCAGTTAATATGCTAGATGATACCATGACATTACCATGTTAATCTCCGATGTTTGATTTCCATCTTGGTTACAACATTCTGCATTGGTTCACTTGTTGCAACACGGCAACGTCGTTTAAGTTATGCGATATGCCTGCCAACGTAACGCATACCAGAGCGTATCTATTAAAGGCAATCAATGTAAATGCGTACATGTGAAATAAAAAAAAGAACAGGTTTTGGGCTCGCTCGTCGACAGTGAACGCGTTGATGATTAGTAAGAATTTTCAATTGTTTGTGCCTCAATTTTACGTCGTACAAATTGTACCAAAATTATTTTCGTTCATCTTATGGTAACAAACAATAAAATTTGTGTTTCTACGAGCCACAAATAGTGGCACGTCTAATTGGTTTGATAGGATTAATAATGTGGCAATAGTTACACAACAATATTCTGTGGCTGCAGAAAATTTCTGGTGTAATGCACAAAGATAAAAATAGGTGAGAATTTGCTGACAAACTCAAAATTTCCCGGTTTTCATGAATTCTGAACATCTGAAAAAACTTATCTTCCTCGGCTAGCGTTTTAAAAGGGGTAACAATCAATGAATTCAATGCGATTTGGCTTCGGGCATGATAAGAATTGAAGTTTATGTCTGTTCTCACCTGTCAACAAGTTATTATTTGTCACCATCCACTCGATTGTTTCTCGTTCGCAGGACGTTCGGGTTGAGAGTTATGATTTAATGTGCCATGCAAGCTTTCGCAAAGATTTGTACTACAATTTAGGTGACACAAAATGACCGATCAAAAAATAAGGTCATATCAACATAATTCGGAGATGCAAACGTTGTTTACGAAACGGTGTGGTTTTTTCTTATTCTTTCTAATTACAAAAATATGCAGCAATGCAGTCAATGACCATGACATAGACCAAAGACATGTACTTGGTAGTGCAAATGATAGCCGTAAATCGACATGCAAATATTGTAATCGCTAAAGCCTTGTTACCAAGTAATAAGCAGTTTGAATAGTGGTTTTACCAAAATTAATAAAAGACTTTCGATATACAACAAGATAACTCTTTTCGTTACGAACGATCACCACATGTTCTACGAAATATGACATCATATAGCACCGGACCAAACAGATTTCTGTAATACGATCAACCTGCTAGAAAGAAAAAGAAACAACAAATTATTCGGAAAATAAAGTCTTACAACAGGTCATTCAAGGATAGGATAGCAACCATATGTGCCACAGCTTGATAACGAACAAGTAAAAAGTCTGTTGTATTTTTGAAAACTGTGCGCAAACTGTGGTGGATTATTTTCTTAAAGGGCACATGCCGGATAACATAATAAGAAAGAAAAAGAAGAAGAAAAGAAAAGAAAAAGTAACCATTCAAATTCATTTACATTCGACTTTGTGGACTTTAACAAGTATATTTACAGAGCATCTTTTTTTAATTAACAATCTGTCGTGCTCCTTTAAAGACGACGGATACTCGCAAGTATGGAGAACGGCACTCGCCCGTATTCGTCCACCGACAGGTGTAACAATAACTGACGGTAGATACGATAATAGGTAATTATAATGAATTAAAGATAAGGTTATCACCGGTAGAACAAAAACTCGGCATTTAGCGAAAACCTACGCCCTGTACTTAATAAAAGCCACGTGCTATCATCCGAATAATCAATAATAACCATATTCCACGTTGTAGCTTTCCAGTTATATGATGACGAGTTTTGACGATTGGATTGTTAATATCAATAACAAACAATCCTTTCATATTATCAATATACCATAGAGCGCTTCATTAAAAATAGCGCTTTAATAACGTACTACGCAAAACGGAAACCAAGTAGAGGATATGTTACAACGAATGCATCTCTTTAGGCATACAATAATTTATTTAAAAACCAAGAAGTGACTTTTGAGTTTTGACATTTCTTACCACACTCTCCCAACTTTCCCCAACTTTCCCCAACTTTCCCCACATTTTCCCACCTTCCCCTACCGTCCTCCACTTTCCCTCGCTATTGCCCACCAGGCAACTTTTTAGTAGCAAACTTGCATATACGACGAACCAACGTTGCCAATTTTTTAAGATTCTTCTTGACGTTGTCTCTCTGAGCATCCTTTGGATCAGTATCCATCGCCAATTGTGAACTTTTCTTTTCAATCTGTGGCCTAAAGACACTCGGTTCTTTGTTCTCGGTAATGTCTTTATTATCATCGCTACTCTTGTCATTGTTCTGTACTCTTGCCTTTTCATTCTTAGCCATGTGCGTTTTCTCTTCACTCTTACTTGGGCCTTCTGCCAAAATTTCGAGATCAATGAATGCGGCAGATTCCCACTTTTGTCGCGATGGAAAAGCCTGGTTTAAAAACTTTATCAAGAGCGGTCGTAGCACTGCTGGATGTTCTCTGGTTGAGGCTGTTCCGGTGACGAATCTGACTCGAGGTGTATATTTTAATGACGGCTCGAGACTTTGAAATGCTGTCAAGAGACATTGGGCTTTGACGCGGTTGCATCCATGAAGATCAATTAAGACGCAGAGGGGAGGCGTCATATGGAATGGGCGAGCAATGGATTCTAGGCGAATCATCTTTGCTAATGGATAGTCACACAGGTCTGATTCCTGTAAAATTTAATGGTTAACGCAATAAACTCTTGTTAAGATCTTATAATACCAATGCAATGCATATATCACCCGAATAGCATACCGTAACAAGATTCCGTAATTGTTCAAGCACGGCAATATCCATATTTAACTTTTCTCTATAATTATTATTCTTCTTATTATTCTTCTTCGTCTTGACGTTTCCCAGTTTTTTCCTGGGTTCCTTGTTTTCTTTTCCGCCATTTTTAGATTTCCGCTGTTTCTTATTGACAGTCTTGGTAGCTTTACCACCAGGTTTCTCATTCGGGAGATTACTAATATTGGCTAGTTTATTTTTTTTGTCATTCTTGATTTTTTTAGCTTTGCCCAATTTTGTCGTTGTAACATTGCTACCGGTTGGTCTGGCTTCAAAAGCAGTCGCCTTGCTATCCAATCGAATGACGGGATTACTCGATGGACCGGGTTCGCTTGTTTCATTATGCTTCGAGTCCTCAGCGGCAACCACTCTCTTACCAACACGTTTCATTTTTGATGGACCAGGTCTATTTTCGTCATTGTCCTTGAACTTGTTTTGATTTTGAGAAATAGTCGCTTCACTACCAAATTTAATGTTTGGAATATTGCTATTCTTTACAGTTGGCAGATGAGGTTCTCTTTCATTGTAATCAAAATTCCGCTTCTCCGTTTTCTTCTCCTTTTTCTTCTTCTTGTCATTGTTATCGTTGTTAGAGATAATCGTTATGCCGCTCAATTCGGTATTTATGGTACTATTCATGATATTAATCAATCTGGGTTCTGTGTTATACTTGGACGTTAACCTTTCCTTTTTGGAATGCGTCGCTCTGCCCAAACCTGTGTTAGCAGTATTACTACCCATATGATTGACTTTAAAGTGGTGTGTGGTTGATATGTTTTTGGTAGATTGCGTTTAATGTGTGTGATGTTTAATCTTGAGATTCTTGCTCTCGTCGATTATATTTGGGTGATGCTTATTACAGCGGCTTTGAATTAGCAAAAACGAATGAATGTTTAGGATGTTCTCTCACAAAGAAGAATGGAGAAGTGTGAAGACCTGCTCATCCTCTACTCCAAGTCATTGTTTGTGTATTTATACATGTATGTGACATTGTGTCCCATTCAGGTTATGAAGAGGATATTTGAGGGGTGAACGTTTTCCGGGGATGTTTAATATAGACAACGGATGTTGTTATAGCACTTTTTTTTATTTTAATTTTTACAACGCTGCAAAGTTTCAAAAACAAACGTCTTTTTTCTCATCAGTTGAAACATCAGTTAAACAACACTTTACACGCTTTACTGTTTTACGTTGAACGTTTCAAACCCGTGGGATAAATTCGGATATTGGCACGTAACCGTCTATGCTTGCTTATTCTGACAAACAAGTACATTTTTAAACAAAGCACACTCAAAAAAGACCAAGTGCTAACCAATTATTGATGTTATGCTGTTCCACAGTACTAGTACCGGGTTCCACGATAGATTTATAGAGGCGACTCAGTATATGAGAATTTTATTTCGAGCACCGTAATAATTTACAGGAGATGAAGAGGAAAGAGCTTCATATTTCGAATTAAAATAAAATAAGTGAATTTTTAGAGTAGAGATTGAATATAAATGTTATTCGTGTTAATATTGTATAAGAATTTAATTAATGTACATCTAGAACACAAAGTGATCGAATAAGTATATTTAGATATTTTTTTACGGCTACAGAAACGAAAATACACCTTTTTCTCAGAAACACACAGGACATGTATTGTACGTCTCTTAATCAGTTACAGAAATCCAGATTCTTGCAACAGTCTTGCAATCTTCTCATCTTCACGTTCTCTGTGTTTATTAAACAAAGAATCTCAATACCGGATTCTCGCTTATAACGTATAAATTGACAGATATGTACCAACAAAAGGAAGCATTCCTTAGTTACCTTGGCTCCATGCTCAGAGACAGAGCATAGAGATCACCAACATCACGACTATCTTGAAGATGGCTTTTTATAAAGATCTGAATCTCTTGCACGGGAGTCAAATGGTAAGGCACAGCTTGGTATTGCTGGATTTCGCGAATGACTTCAGCCGTCTTCATTCGTTTTGAAAAATTGATTAGGTTTCGATTCTTTTTCAAGACGTTCGGATTACCATCCTCAATGAATGTCAGATCCGTAAGATAAACACCTAGTGAAGAAAATCCCACCCGTGTCAAAAATCCGAGTAATAAGATTTAGAAACAAAGACGATATAAACAATTATCAAATATACATACCCAAAAAGGGAACACAGGGCGGATTAACGCTGTGCAATTGCGCTCGATAGTCTAAGAAATTCTTTGTCGAATTCATTATTTTGTTTAGTGCTTCCAGGTTCTGTATTGTTCTAGCATTCACCATCTCCCAGGTTCTCTTGAGACGATGAATAGGTGCAGAATTTAGCCCAGAAATAATTGCCGTGAGTGAATTGAAATTGTTTAGACTTCGGCATTTTTCAGCAACGGCTACAAAATGTTTTATCAAGTTGCATCGCTTTTTGATTTCAGATTGATGTAATATCGATTCTGCGACCCATCCAGTTATCTAAAGGGGGGGGGGGGGAAACGTTAATAAAGAAAGACACTGTATGGATCCATTTCTGGTGGCAATATCCAAACGATTTCCTCTCTCGTCGTACACACCTGATTACTATTAACTATCATTGCCTTGATATTCTCGGCAATCTCGCCACCCTCTTCTCGACTCCAAGCCTTTCCAAGGCATTCAACAGGACGGATCTTATTATATAATTTAGACTCGATGAGAGTCAGCTGTCTGGCCAACTCCAACGGGTCCAGGTCCACGAATCTAAGCCTCTTCATGTTCCTTGGAAGATTTGGAGGCGGCGGCTGAATGGCAGTGCTAGGAACCAATCCCTTGAAAGTTGCATCTTTCGGTTGCTCTTTCTATAAAGTTACGAAAAAGTGTTAAAAAAAACAACAACCTCCCACTATTCAATGACCCTTTTTCAATGGCATGCACTCTCAGCTCAATATACGTACCCGCTTGTCAATAACTTTTATCAAACTATTAGCTGCAAAAGCCATATGCTCGTGCATAACCGTACTAGCAAACTCTCTCATCTTTTCCAAACACTGTGAATCTGCTTCATCGATATAATATATTTCCAACCAACTTTTCATGATATTAAACACTCTCAATCTGATCGGCGTCTGCTTTTTCTCTTGCCATAGCTCGTTCTCTTCCAGAGTCAAGTTTGGTGGTGGTTGTATCATGAATCGCTTTACAAGTAATTCAAAGAACTCTTCCGTGGTCGTAAACGATCGATACGTCAACAAGAATGTTGCAATAAAGTTCGAGTCCAACAAGTCGTGCATTGTCAGTCTTTCAACTAAAGCTCTTAAAGTACCACCTTTGACATGTCCCTCTAAATTGAAAACTATCTCGGATTGATCATAATCATATTTCAAAAAGTCCGGCTTTTCTTCTCGTTTTTGTGTTGTTACGGCCAGTGCGGGATCGTGGCCGAAAAATCTTATGAGTTTTTCGTCTCGGGGCGATTTCGTTCCCGCTGGACTAAGTGTGGGATCCTATGTTGGAAGAAAAATTACGATTAGAATACAAATTTATCATTCAAAATGAATATAACTTTTGATAGCAAAGCCATGACTCTTACAGCAAACGGTTCGCCAATAATCGGACTTTCACCGGATGGTCCCTGCACATCAAATTCATCCGTTTGGTTATACAAGTTATTATTTGGTATTGCTTGGTTTTCTACCTCATCTTCTGGTACGGTTTCCAACGCTAATTGTTTGTGCTCAGCTCCAACTTCTGCTCTAATAGTATTATTGGTCGAAGCTTGACCACTCGTTTCGCCAACTAGTTCGGGAGAATCTTTGCCAGCGCTCATCTTAACCGCCGCGTCAACAGTATTACTACCTCGCCGCATGGTACTCTGCATCCGTTGTTGGTCCTGAGCGTCTTTCTCTTCGATAAGGAATTTAGTAGCGATAATCACATCCTTTACCGACTTGTCAACAATAGTAGTCGTGAGATAAACTTGGTCCATGGCATTTGGCGGCGCCAATGGGTCAGTTGCTGATTGAGTGTAGATAACCAATCCAGCGACATTATGATATAACGCTTGCTTGGCAATTTTGAACTCGTTAATTGACCCTGCGCTTGACTCGTCCAAGTCTTCGAGATTAATATCTTCAATCAGAGATAAAAATTGTCCGACTTGGGTAACAACTTGACGAGTCTGTGAAATCATTTGCGGAGCAAAGGTTGCATTCGTAGGGGCATTGGTACGTGGAGCATCTACAGCCTTGCGAAGATGTGACAAAAGCAGATTAATCGCTTTATTAACATTGCGAGAAATATGGTCAAGCGTAGCAAGAAGATCTGGTGTCAGTGAACGTCCGGGGAACATGGCTGTAGGTGAAGCTGCTTGACCATCATACTCTTCACCACCAGGCCCTTTATAATATCGTCCATTCTGCGTTGGAGACAAGTTATTCCCACGCCATGCCCCACCAACAGGACTCTCGAGTATCTTGGGGTCGACTCTCTTGATTTCGACAGTATGGTTAGCAGCCTGAACAAATGATTTTACCGCCGAAAGTACTTCATCAGCATCATTTTTCATTTTCTGAGCTGCATCTGGCGGAGGCCATACGCCTGATGCCACCTTGGTGGATAGTACTAATTTTGATAGAGACGCCATGATACATCTATGATATATTTTTAAACTTCGGTTTGCACGAATTGTAGGTGATTCTTTTTCCACTGTTCCCGATGCATACAGCATAATACGAATACTCTCTACGACAGAATTAGTGCATATAGTATAGGAATACTTTTGTGATTCTCTCACTGCCATATCCAAATGATGGATAGCAAGAAAGACATTACTCGAGAGTGACTCCCAAGTAAGCGGTTCGTTTGCGTTGCTCCCAAACAAAGATGAAGAAGAAGCCTTTTTAGCCGGTATTCTTGCATCATTCTGGTCATCACAATCCCGGTTCTCCGTCTGATTATCGACGGTCGTCTGTGATGCATTGATTAACTGACCAGTTTGCATATCGATATTTTCGAGATTCCAGGTGGTCTCGTCAGTTATCACATTAAAGTAGTATGGACGTCCTGTATCAGTGTATTTCTTGCCCCAATTGGGTGGTAATGTTTCAGTTCCGTTTACGTCTTCCTGGTGTTGCTTTGGCTCTTGTTGATGTTGTTGCTGTTGTTGTTGTTGCTGCTGCTGTTGTTGTTGTTGTTGTTCTTCTTCTTGTTGTTGTTGTTGTTGTTGTTGTTGTTGTTGTTGTTGTTCTTCTTCTTGTTGTTCTTGCTGTTGTTGTTGTGATTGTTGTTGTTGTTGTTGTCTAACTGTTCCCATAGTACTAGTACTCAGCCTGCTTCCATGTGAACTGGCAACACTTTCCTCGTCGACAGCAGCGGTAGCATCATCCTCTACTCTTAATGCCGGATCATTTCCGATAATGTCACCGTCAAATTTCTCTTCAGGATCCGAACCACTTGAAGCGGTAGTATTTCCTCCACCCGGATAAGTCCATCTAACCTCTTTCGTTAATGTGTTCAAATAGTAATAAGTGTTTCCGTCCTCGGTAGGTTGCCGTATCCAGTGTTCGGGCAAGGGTGCCCGTACAGAGCTAATGGATCCGGAACGGGATTCATTAGAGCGTTGAGCGTGACCGTTTATAGGGCCGTTACTGGGACTTTCACCGTGAGGCGAAGAAGGGTCGCGCACAGAAGGTGTAGTTGTGACCGACTCATTGTCATCACCCGGGAGTTCCCATGCGGATTCTCCTGTCCGGGGATTAAAATAGAATACGTCACCATCAGGGGTCTGCTGAGCTACCCAATCAGACTGGGAAGAAGGAGCGGGAGCGAGACGTTAGAGTGAGAATATGAATAAGAGTTAGTGAGAATGAAAGCAAATAATCGCTCAAACGGGTTAATTTTCAATCGGGTCATATTAACGAAATATGAATAGTGAAATTCCAAGAATTGATTTTATACAAGTGAAAAACGTGCGTGCAGGCTCGTCTTGCTATAACTACATTAGGCCGTAAAAAGTCTTTGCAGTGTTACACTAATATATCAACTATACTGGTCTCTCTCTCGTTGAGGACGGATATAATCAAACAACCGAGGCAGTTTGCACCCAACCCAACAGCAAATGGGACAATCTGCAATCCTTTTTTATTGGTATAAAGTTCTCCAACGACCAAGAGCGTTCCTTCTCGCAATGATTTCGTATAAAACCTTTACCTTATCGTCTTCGTCTATATAGTCATCGTCGTCTTCTACAGCAGTTACATAGTTGCTTGGAAACCAGCCACGTTCGCCATTACATAAACCATCCCACCAGCCAGATTCCAAGCGCGTGAGCACTTGTATTATATCGTCCCTTCTGAACGAGAGACTGGAAGAGTCGCTTGAGTTAAAGTCGTATAGGGCCTTTACAAATAATACAGAACTAGTCATATTTGGGTTGTGGACTCTGATTTTTTTTTGGCTTTTTTAATCGTTAAGAGTAAACTAAGGAAGTGTATATGGTCAGTAGGTAATTTTGTACAAGAAAGGAGAGGAGGGTGGACGTGTGAGTTGAAGTTATTATAAGCGGGTTCAAGGTCTGAGAAAAGTACGAGTCTAATATTACTCATGGTCGTTGTCATACCGATCCCCACCAATGGCTGTTCCTTTTAGAGAAATATGTAATGATTATTCCTTTTTGGAGAATATGCTTGAGTGACGTAAAAATGGTAGTTGAATAGTTTTATTCGCTACATTAATGATGTCTATTATTAATAATAAAAATTAGAATAAACAATAAATTCCTATTCGGATATATATGATTATTTTATTCTATTAATGCCCATATTTTCTCTTAGCGTTGTCTGAAATTAGAAATCAATAGGAAACAACGATTTCCGATTCCGTCAACTGATCCTCTTCCCCCCCTTTTTAACATCGACAAGTAGCGAGGGTGATTCAACTTCTGTCGCACAATGTCTAAATTAAACTATGTGAAATTTCTGCTCGTGAGATAAGCATTGGTTAGAGGCGCATTAGGCGACAGTTAGAAAAAAGAGTGTCTATAGCTGTTTCAGTACAACAATGCTTTAACAACTGCCTAATTATTTTATCATCGTGTAACAATAGCTGAAGGTGATGACCGAAGAATGATAAGCCCGAAGCAACGATCTAGATTTTAATTATAGCGCAACGTTCTACTTGTGTTATTTGTCGCGCGTTCATTTCGAGTACCGAAACAGTGTTTCATATTATCGGGGTAAAAAAGAGTGGAAATACTGGCGGGCGAAATGTTTGCATGGCTGAATGACATTCGATTAATTAATGCCGATGACAAAGACAATAGTATTGTCGTTATGCGAGAGAAGATTGAATCCACATTAAAATGAAAACGAGAATGTCTGAATCGTGAAACGATAGTAAAATCCTGGGGTAGAAAAGTCCGTACACCCGTAGTTGTTTGGCAACTTGTCGATCTCTCTTGTTTGGCTCTCGTTGTGTCAATTTCATTAATTTTGGCAATAAGGTCATCGCTAGCTTAATTACTGAATAAAATGTATGGCCAGGAACGACGCTGCTGAAAAATTAAATCAACTTGCTTGTCAACTTTTGACTGCACCAAGAACATACGCTGGATTACAAAAGTTACTCAATCGCTAATTGATAGATCCCGATATTTTGTTTTTATTTAATCTCGGCTATGCGTTTCATACAGGTGCGACAAAACTCGTAACAATTTTTTGGACTTTTCCTAACAGAATACTATAAATAGAAGCAAAACACAACTCGGTTAGTCATACATATTGTCAATAATATTATGATTACATTTAAGTGATTATATTTTAAGTCAACTTACGTGACTTGATTAATAAAGTTTCTGATAAATATAAAAAATTTGAAACGCATTTAATTATATGCGTTGTGATAATTAACATTATTTATCCAAGTAGATTTTGTTTGTCTTTTCGTTTCTGATTTCAAATTGTCATCAGATTACTTACTACCACTCACTTACACATTGGTACAGTTATGTTATTACCATTATATAACTCTATTAATGAAACGCCGTCCATTGGTTGATATCTTTCAATTGTTTAAGACACGAGCACAAATATTGCAAACCCAATAATTCAGAAAAAAAGATCGCAGATGGCAATCTGAACTCTTACTGGATGGTTGGCATGAAAATTCAATGATGTGGTTACGTGTTCGGTGGCTACATGGTTACAGCAATAAACAAACAAGTTGATTCAACCAATCGGACATTAAACCGTTTGCAGACGATAAACCAATACATCTTTCAATGACATAGGTAATAGCAGTAGCGATACTACACAGATAATGATAGTTCGGGGAATCGTCCCGAACAACCCGAGATGTTCTTCTTCACGTGTAACAGGACGAATAAGACAATGAAAGATTTTTCCACAAATAGTTTGGACGATCATATCCCAACTTGTGCATAACTTACCGTTTACACTTCACTCTACAGATCCTCAAATTGTAATCGTGCAGCTAGTTCTAAACGATCCTGCTAAACCATGTCTGACTAGTACATGTTTTTCATTTATAAGCAAACAGTTTAAAATTTAAATACTGAGCGTCAATCGAATGCATACTCGGTGTATTCGCTCACGGGTTGATCCCGCTCTCGTTATTATTATTATTATTTACCAAAACCCATGTACTGTGTAAGCACCTTTATTAAACCATAACCTTTTATTTGATATGCTAATAATAGCTTTTTTTGGAAAATGGGATTGAATCGAGTGTTTCTATCAACCAAAGTTCGGATATTCTTCTTAAGAATGATCTTCAATTGGTCAAAGTCATACCAATCATAACATGGAAGAGAAACGTTTGCTGCACTACTCGTATATCATTGAAAGTAGCCAATAATGTTTAATGTGTTGGTGATGCCACTTTCTTTTATACTGAAATACCAAAGACATTGACACTTTCCTGCTATTTCGGAAAAGTTGGACGCAAAAGTCTTGGAACAGTGATACCGGGCATTTTGAAGATGCACTACTATTACTATATTAGATTTATCGTCTGCCCAATTTGAGGCAACTTGTACACGATAAACACCAACATTTCCAATTTTGTCACACATTAAGTGCAGTAACCAAAAGCGAAGGGCATTAGTCATTGTCATTATTGGTAAAAGTTTTCGTCTACAAAATTTTCATTATCACTGTACGTAAGTAATAACACAATTTAGCATTGGGCTTTAAAGAAATGAGGCTGTGGTAATATTATAATTTTTTTGGCTAAAACAAACCAAAAATCAATGATCGCAATAAAGCTGTTTGATGAAGAGGCAATATTGAGCAGGTCACACAGTCTTACACTCGGTAATTAGTCATCAGACCACATCAGACCATAGCTAAGACATTTCAATCAGTTACTTGACTTTTGAAAGTAAAGTTGATGCGCCATTGTTTCAGATTTAAGTAGAAAAATTAAATGTAATTATAGAGGTCAAAAAGTGACAAGTACTTTTTCGATCACGTCAAAAATTTGGTTAATCTGTAAATAAAGCCTCGTATTGAGCAACGAAAAATCATCATGTTTGCGCATTTCCATCTCATATATTAAAACACTTGGCGCATGCAGTTCTGCCTCTCTTGTAAAATACCAATTTGGTTAATATTCGTGCTGCCTTTTTTATTTTTCATAAAATATATGGTAACTCGTAAACATAAAATTTGTCGTGTTGTATCATTTTTAATACGATATCGTAACAGCAGTCATTTTTGTAACTATCGACAATTTACGAGACACTCGTGGAATTGAAAATGAGACTTTCATATGATTTTATTGGAGTTCGTAGATCGATTTATAAATGACGATCCTGTACAATATCCCCTTTTTGATAACCGTCAAAACTTTCCGAGGAATTGTTCATCAAGTCCCACTTCTGTATTGTCTTGGTTTATCATTATTAATTGATTAACGTTCCTTGAACGGTTTGTACGGTTTGCAGTATTTGTAACTTGCGCCTATCATTCGCTCTTCTCGCCCTAAACTGGGAAACCCAAAGTTACGTTCTTGGCTTGTTTATGCATAATAATTGTGCTCTTGATACTAACAGCGGAAATGGAATTGTGGTCTCGTTGCACGAATGGCAATCCTAATTTTTTGATTAGTGCTCTCTAAACATTCATATACTCACCAATGCGAGTAGTGCGCTCTAATTTACTAATCCTATAACTAATCAATGTAAATGTAGATCTTAATGTGAGCATTTATTGACGAATGCACCACATTACGGATAATAATCTACTAAATTTTCCTATTCTCCATAGTATGATATACAGCAATACACACTTTACTTTTCATGGTCTATACTTTTACGTCTTAAAATTATAACCTATAAGAAAAGATTGCTCATTAATTTACGAGACACGAACAAAAAGTTTCTAATTTACCCATATCCCATTTAATTTACACAATCATTAACCAATGCCGACTTTCTATGCGTACGTTCTGACCCAAATCGCAATCTGACCCAATTCGAATAAATTTGATAACATAAACAATGTTGATTAGATGTCGCTTATCGGTGTGATATTTAGACAATTTCGAATGGGGTCAGATTGCGATATCATTACTATCGCTATCAATATTAACCATCTTTTTTTATAGCATAAAACGGGAAACAGATATATTATTAGTGTCCGCGTCACAAGTGCCGTTCTAATTTATTTAAGACGTAATAGTAAATGAGCAGGTTATGGGAAAAAAGAATGACAGGCAATATGTTCTTAATCGGTCTAAAATTATGAACAAGCCAACTCCTGCAATGACGATGCGGTCACAAACTGGTCGTCACTCGAACGATGACAAGACTACAGTTCAGGATATTACTATTTGCTGCCAATGTCCCAGCTAATACTACGACCTATGCCCTTACAGATTTCAGATCGAATGGTCGTACTTGTATTAATTGTATGAGCCGGCGTGCTTTTTTTTTCGAATGAAAGCGGCAGTAGTGAAATACAGATTCGGTTGGTAGTTTCCGTAGTTCCGGCAGTAATATCTTTTTTAAACTGTTTTAGGTCGGTTATATTATATATATTTACTACTTTTGGTTTGGTAGTATTGTATATAGAGAATGACGATAGGGATGTCGTAGCTGAGATAACGATATAGCCGAAAGCGCTTCTCGTGATGGCTGGGACTGACCGGAGGGAGGCATCACACATTGCCGTATCAGATCCGCTATTGATGATATGAGAACGCCGTGGGAGTGAAAAACTTTTTACTGGGTCATTGTTTTCTTCCATCACCTTTCATCAGCGGAATCATTTGTTGTGTTGTCTTTTCCTGACAATTTGTTGGATGCGATGCTGAATTTTCAGACTGTAGTAAAAGTTTTTCATTATAACCAATTAGTAACCAAATAGGCTGCTCTGACAACTTTTCGTGGTAGCCTTGTAACCGGA